GTAACCTTTAAATGTATTCTTATCGGGAGGAAACATTCCAGTTTTCCGAAATCCATTGATGGCTGTTTCCATTGTGGCAGCCCTTACGGCCTTACATATGCCTTACCAAAAAGCTCCCCTACTTGGTATGCCGTTACAACTCGTCGGGGGTGGAGTTTGAGCCAATTTGATATTTCCTGGGCGTAGAATGTTTTGAAGGGTGACATAAATGCCACGTCCAGCGGCTGCATACGATGTGTAGAATGGGGTGGTAAGCAGATAATGTGAAGAAAATTTTCACGAGAAACAGTTATAACCTCCAAATTTCTTGTATGAGAATAGTGGCCATCAAGTATTAGTACGACGGGATCTTCAGGGCATGGTTTAACGAAATTAATAAAATGGCGAAGCCAGTCAACGAATATTTCTTGTTGGATCCACCCAGAGATGTGACACGCATATTGTGTACCAGGTGGGGTCCCGTTCATTAATTCCAATTTCATGTTTTTACGTGGGAATATTATGAAAGGAGGCACGTACTGACCTGCCGCACTGAAGCACATCACCGTAGTTAACAGTGAGCCCCGCTCTGCCGATGTTATGGCGCCGATTTGCTTCTTTCCATTTTTACCCACCACCCTAAGATTGAACTATAGTTAGCCCAGTTTCGTCACAGTGAAAGAGTCTTGCTGGATTGTAGTTTATCTTTTCTAGCAGAGGTTCATACAATTGGAAATATGCGTCCACGTTTTCTCTCGTAAACGATTTAATTCGAGCATAGGATATTCCTTGGGGCATCCTTAGTGATAACTCCTTGTGTCTTGCTAAGAAACCAGCAAACCATTTTTTCCCAGCACATCCTTTGGCGGAATTAAATGGGTTTTTTATTTTATTCGCTTTGCATAGACTAAAAGCAAGTCTACAGACGTCCCTCTTTGTGATACCAAAAAATTTCCTTTCTAATTCTAAACAGTGTTCGGCTAGTTTAGCTTCCATTTCTTGCGAAAAAACTACTTTTCTACCTAAACTGGAATCCACCACTTCCTCAGGAGTTCCTTCCTTTTTGACGTACCTTTCTAAGGTACTTTGAGGCACATTATGGGCACGTGAACTTTTTAAATATCCCATCCTCTTATCCCTACACGCACTAATTGCTGATAACATTTTGGCTCTATCCCAAGACTTACGTTTAGGTGGCATCTGCAAAGATGCTCCCATTAGATACAAAAAAAAATGCAGCGCCGAAAAGGTTATCTCCTAATATGGGGTACCCCAAAATAATAACCAGCTGGTACCCCATATTGGGAGCAAATTAAATTTTATGTTTAGATTAAATTTTTGCGAAAGCAAACATTACTTAGTCAAGAACTAATGTACTATCGTGAAGTACGTAAAAAGAAGTTTATCATACATGCATAATGGATGTAAATACTTACTTTTACACAGAAGTTAAATTGCTCCTAACAACGTGCACGTAAAACATTAACTCATGCGTAATTATGTGGCGGCCTCCCGTGCCCAAACCGTACATATAATGACAATGTAGATTACTTTAATTGGCTTCATTTCAAAGTATTTGATGCAAAAATTATGCCATAGATGGCATATGTATGGTTATAGTAAACTAAAAACCACAGTACCCCATATTAGGAGGTACCCTCATATTAGGGGACTTTCCTCTACATTTTTGGTTTCTTCATAGGGTACGTTCCATTTGGCGCTACCAAAAATGCAAATGCTTTACTGCAAACGCTTACAGAAATAGTGTTCCATTTGAGGAAGTAGAGCTTCAAATGGAACGATGCGGAGCACTGATAGATGTTTATTTACGTTTTGAGGTTAAGTTAGTAGGGTAAAGGTCTAAAGGAGCCTAAGAGTACGCACTTAAGACATTATGCCATAGTACATATTAATGTTTGGTATAAGGTGAGGCATTAGAATAAAAGCTATTAACTACATTTATCTACTATTTATTTTTACTAGTAAAAGCAACATAACGGAAACAAAATTCTAAATAAAAAAGTTTTTGTGCAAATCCACAAACGCGTACTCTTGTAAGTACTTGCATGCAAGAGTACGCACAAGGGCACTTAAGAGTACGCATGTATAATTTTAACAAATATCACACACAAATTCGCCTCCGGAATAACAACAACATGCCTCATGCCACCACTGCATACATTTAGAGCATTGAATCCAATCTTCTGTGGGTGGCTCAATAAATTGTTCATTGCAACCTGGACAATGAATCTCTTCATGGGAATCTTTCCTCTTTGCACCTAATTCCACACTTTTTTTTTCACGCACTTTCTTCCTTTTAGTGATCGTAGTACGTTTTTTTGAGGTACCTTCCGCTATTTGCCTTTTTGTTGTTTTAACTTTACTCGAGAGTTTATTATTCTTTAAAGTTTCATCGTGGTTAATGTTTTCTTTTTCTTCCAACATGGTTTTATACGGAGTGCTTGTTAAAAGTTCTGATTTCTGAGCATTTTTTTGTCGTAATTTTAGGGTATGGTCGAAGTTCGTGTGGACTCATTATGGACATATTTTTTGCCTTCATTTCTTCATTACCGCGTGAATTAACCAACACGTCAGTTTCCACTGGAAGTATAAGCATTTCTGGGGTTTTTTCTCTCCTATCGTGTATAATTTGGTCATATTTGCAAATTTCAATGTCATCTATTTCGACAGTGTAAGGTTCAGCTGACACATTTACAGTATGTTGCCTATTACTAATAGTTAAATCTTTACCAAGAGTCTCTCGCGTTTCTAAAACGATAGTCCCATCATTTATACGGTGTAGGTCTAGTCTTTCCAGTTCTTCCGTTCTATCGGTAACGATCGGTTCATCCATTCTGTCGGTGACGATCGGTTCGTCCATTTTGTCTGTGACGACCAGTTCCTCCATCCTGTCGGTGACGATCAGTTCCTCCATCCTGTCGGTGACGACCGGTTCCTCCACTCTGTCGGTGACGGTCCTTTCTTCCATTCTGTCGGTGACGACCGGTTCCTCCACTCTGTTGATGATGACCGGTTCTTCCATTCTGTCCGTGACGAGAGATGGTGCGAAATCTTCATCAGTGAATACTTGTGGATTATACGGAAATATACCAGCCGAAAGAAAGGAGTTCACTGCAGTTCCAACGCTTGATACCCTGTAGTAAGCGTTTTTGAATAGGGAAGAGACCTGCATTTGGATAATCGCCTTCCCAGAATTGTTTACCAACCAGTTACCGCACAGTTGGCTGTAAGCCGATTTCAATGGTCCAAAAAAATCCCTTATCCAAAGGTTGGATTTTATGGCTTGAATGTGGGGGTATTGAGAGGAGGTGTATGAAATTATCTCTGCAGTAATAATTAATCACAATGTTCTATGAGAAACGTGGTTGTCAAAAATTAACAGGACTGGACTTTCTTCAGTTGGTTTAACATAATCTTTAAAATGCTTCATCCATTGTAAAAACAGTTCACTATTAATAAATCCGGAATCCGATATAAGAGGCAAGGTTCCAGCAGGAGCCCCGTTGTACAACTCTTCTCGCATTCTTTTTCTAGGAAAAACAAGCGCACACTGAAAAAACAGTGTCTGTAAATTTACCATAATAATCATTGGTTTAATTCTTGCCTATTATTATCTTAGTAAATTTACTGTCCCTGTGTAACATTTGTTCATAAAATGTAATTTTCCTGACATGATGTAATCGAATCAAATACAGCAATCATGTAACATTACATATTTTTTACCATATTACATGTAAAAGTCATCTTTAAAATTAATTGTGTTGTGGTATGTTCATATGGGTATTTACTCGTGCTCCGTAAAACTACACAGTATCTTTCCAGTATACTTGTAATTTTCTCTTTTAATTTCACCAGGAATTTTACATTTTTTGTGCAAAAATTTGGTGGCAAATTGATAGGGGGCAATTTTCATATATAATACCATAAGTAGTCGAAGTATTGTCGAATATTTTTGAGGTGCTGTCACGAATGCTAGTTACGCTGATTAATACCACGAGCGCTTGCGCGAGTGGTATTAAAAAGCGTAACTAGCATGAGTGGAGCAGCAGCTCAAAAATAATCTACAAATACTTCGACTACGAATGGTATTCGGAGGACTATTCAATGAATCAAAAGAAAAATTAAGCATAATTACCCACGCGAATGTATTTCCATGACAACAATAAACGTCAAAATAAATTATGGAAGTTGCTTTTCATTTTGCTATTGATTCTATTCGAACTTTTGTGCTCCAAACTAATTCGTTATGAGTGATTAAATTAAAAGATGTGGTGATAAGTCGGTTGTCGAAATTGATTAACAAACTAAGAAGAATGTTCCGGTTAATACGACAAAATTTCGCGTCATTTCACTGGTGGAAGTTTGACAAATGTCATTGAATAATCGCATTGAATTGTCGCTGAAATACCACACGTGAAATTATCGCTGAAATACCACACGTGCAATTATCACTATAATTCGTTCCCATTGGCGCAGCAATTTGAAATCGAGACATTTCACTGGTTGAAATGTGACAAATGTTAGATGAATTGAATAGTCAATAAAATATTGATATAAGGAGACCATTTATTAAGTATATATATATATATATATATATATATATATATATATATATATATATGTTACGGGCAAAGACGATAATTGGACATTAACGATAATGCCCGGACAATGATGTGAATGCCCATTTTTCCTGGTCCTTATCATTAATGACCGGGAATTAACGTTATGGACCTTTGCGCAAGGGTAATGTTGTTACTATTCCAATCTTATTTTCATATTAACGTCTGTGCCCGGTCATTAACGATAATGCCCAAGATTTTCTGGAGAATGTTGTTAGGTATGATTATCTTTTTTTTTAAATAATTATTAATCATGGTTGATGGTAACATCAGGTAAGATATAATGTAGGTACTTATCACTACAATTTTTTATTTTTATTCTGAACTGTATTAAAAAGTTTATATAATAATAGTTTGTACAAAATAATATAAGAAGGATAATTAATCATTTTTATTGTGGCATGAGAGAGATCCATGGCACTTCGAATTGCAAATTTTCTTGTTAGCGCGACAAGCACACTTATTGTTTTTACATCCGCCCTTGCAGTGACAACGTTTGTAACCCTGTCCCCCTAAAACACTATTTTCAGCGGCCACTTCTCTCAGGGAAATTTCTTTATTTTTTGCGGAATCGCTAAGGTTCTCTAATAGAATAAACTTTTCAATGCAAGGATTAAACTCTGACCTGGTAAATTTATGCTTCAACGCGCCATGGGGTGTACCTAAAATGTCGGAATTATTGCGTAATTGACATTGCCAACTGAGTAAAACATGGTAAAACTCACCAAGTTTATATAAACCGTCTTCTACACTATTAACAACAGCCAGTACATTACGGGGAGAACCACGAGCTCTATCTACGTCTGGTATGGGTACACGAACGGTAGTTCCAGCTTGAACGTCGGAGAATTTTCGATTAGACAGTTTCAGCATTTTGGTGGCTTGTTTTTCTAAACATTCCCTGGATCTTTTACGCTCATTAACAATGTTCTCTTGGCGTTCGCAATGAATGCACTTCCCATCATTACTAGCTTCTTCGCCAAGTGGTAAGACTGTAGAGCACTGGTTGCAAACTATTCTATCCTCGTACGCTACAATGTCGGTGGGGGGTATAGCTAGTTATTTACAATAAGTTGAAACTGTATTGAATGAATTAACTTACTGCTTTCAGTCGCGCTTCCAGTATCATTAGTTCCATTTTCATATTCGAATTGGATGATTTGTGGAACTATCCCTTCTTCATCTCCTCTTTCCCTTTGCGGATTAGGATCCTCGAGGTCATTAGACTCTCGTCCCATTTCTTCTATCAAAGTTTCAGAAGACTTCAGTGGACAAATGATTAATTTCATCATGGGGAATGCCAGCTGAGGCTAATCCTACTCTAGCCGGACATCCGAACATGGCCTCGTACGGAGATCTCCCAATACCTGAAGAAAATGTATTATAATGGGTGATTAAATTTTTCTGAACTTTGTTGTGTTGCATAAAACCCATTTACCAGAATGAAGTGCACGGTTTTTCTTGAACTGGATAAATTTCATTCCTGAAGGCCAGTCTGTTGTTTGATTTTCATCCATCCACGCGCCTAACATTTCCTCAATATCCCTATTGGCACGCTCAACCGATCCTTGACTCTGGCTGTGTCTAGGTTTGCCATGAACAATTTTTACCTCTGGCCACATCGCATGTAAATCTACCAGAACTGAATTGACAAACTCTCGACCATTGTCTGAATGAAGAATTAAAGGTGCTCCAAAGGTAGTGTATATTTCTAATAAATTAAACGCGACTTCTTCTGCCCTTTTGGTTCTTAACGGTTTCAGCAAAACAAACTTTGTAAGATGGTCTTGATAGACCATAATAAAACGGTAATCGTTGTAACTTTGCGATTGCATGTCAATCAAATCAACCTGAGCACGTGAATTTAAATTGGAATGCGGGATAGGTCGAGGAACTAACCCTTTCTTTGGAGTACTACTTTTTTTCTGACACTGAGTACAGAGTCGTAGGTATACCATTATCGTTTTTTTGGTAATGTTGCAGTAGAGTTTGTTTATCTCAGCAATCATTCGATTTCTTCCACCATGTCCTATAGCTAAGTGAGCATTATGAATAATATCAAACAATTCTCCATTAGTGACGTAGTACAGGACCTTCGATTCAGCTGTTTGAGCAACAGGTTTAATTAGACGGTCTTTTCCACCTATTGTAATGACGTCATATTTACGCACCCGCCTATAGTGCTTCATGCCTTTTTCTGAGCCGGGTGTTGACAGTAAAGCTTTTGCCTCTTTAACTTCATCAATACGTTTGTTATATTCGTCAACGCTTAAAAAAGATTTATTGTCATCGCGTTTGATTTCTATGATAGCGTTTATATTTTTAGTAAACCTGCGGCGCATTTCATTGTGATCCATGACGAATTCGATTTAAAAAATTAAACTAAACTACACTGATAGAGTAACCCCACAATAAACACAACAGAAACATATAACCTAACTTTTTGATTTATCATCACTGGCCGTTAACCAACGGGAAATGACGACATTGCCCGGGCAATGATGTTAATAGCGCGCTTGTGTAATGAATTAACAACATTGGCCGAATCTAATGGTCATTAACGTTATCGCCCGGTAATTATGGAGAATGTCCAACTTGGCTGGTCCTTATCGTCATTGACCGGCCAATATCGTCATTGGCCGGATTATCGTCTTTGCCCGTAACATATATATATATATATATATATATATATATATATATAATAATATATATATATATATATATATATATATATGTGAATGGTGATAAAAAAACACATAAATTAAGTGTTCCTCTCTCTTTACAATCTACAAAAATAAAAGTAAAACTTCTTAGAGTATAGATAATATAGGTATAGGTACATACTTAACATTATAATAATTTATGTAGGAGACTAATGACTTTTGTTTTAGAAGACTGTTTTTTTTTAGAACGACTTCCTTGGTCGGGGTTAATTTTAAGAAAATATCTGTATTTTTTCCAAGAGGTTGGACACCTCATTTGGATATGCTAAGTTAAAGATGTAGTGTAATCCGAAAGCAATTTCAATTGCAATTATTAAATCACATACACATTTGAATGGTTTCCTCTCCAGTATGACCCAATATTCTTTCGGTTCTGGTTTATCTAAAAATAAAAAAGAATTTGTTAAGATACGGAAACAGTAAAATAAACCTAGAACAAACAATCCCACACAATATATAATCAAAACCGCACTTGCGTACAGACGTTACGAGCCCGTACAGCAACAAATAAAATGTTTATTGCGCATGGGCAAAACACGATCATCACTTCTATTGAATCATCCGGTGTGATACCCGAAACGGACAAGAAAACTTTTTACCCCTACTCAGGGGGATGCTGGTAATTAATTTTGTTTGGCAGAAACTCACCTATTTCAATAATGCAGGGAGAATTTATCTCGACTAAATTATTTATATTGTTTTCGGCAAAATCTTCTTCCTGAAACAAAAAAAAATTTATGCATCCACGATACGAAACTATCACAAGGAGGGAGAAAATTTCAAATCTGATTTATTTGATATATACGAGTAGTAGACAGAGGCCCATCTGTATCAGTGTACAGTAGTATAAGTAAATGCTTGAAAGTAGGGACTTATATTTGATTGTATGTACAGGTTGAATTGAACCTTTCTTTTTTTGATTAAAGAAAATATAATAAAGAATTTAAAAATAAAAATTTTATTCAGACTGTACATACCTGCAATCAGATATAAGTACCTATACCCTCCAATAAAAAGCTGAACAACTTCATAAAATTCAAACTTGTTGCAAAAAATTGGAAATTTGACCTTCAGTCCATATTTCTGTATCCTCGTTTGTATCATAGTTATGATACCCAAAAAATGGTCTCGAGGGAAATTTGTGTGTACTAAACACCGACATACTAATGGTGATAGGTGGATCAACTGAAGCAACATTTAAACACAACGTGCAATGTAAGGTTTTCATAAATTATTGTTATCAAGAGCTATCTGGTCTGTGCTAATTCTGAAACCTAAAAGAATTAACAGTATCTTATGTAAACGAAGTATAATCTTCCATAATTCTGTTTGAATTACGTGTTCTCTTCCAATACCAAAGAACGGAAGAACCAGCAAAAACCGCATGTTCTGAGTTGCTGTACCAACAAGCTTATCGTGTTTTTTTACATCTGGAAGAATAACGGTCGGTTCGTTGGTAAATTTAACCAATTTTAGGTTATCGTTAAGAATGTCAAAAGAAATTACTTTACTTTTTAACAAATCATTAAGAATTAACATAACATCTCGTTGTATTACTCCTTCCAGCATGTCATGTGCCATACAAGGTGGTAAACCGGGTGCATCCACGTGAAAATAATTCAAAGAATTAAATATTGACTCAATTTTTACTCCACGAAATGGCAAGTTATTGATGTTTGATAAGTTCACATCGTCATTGTAAGAATCGGGATTCCTTATCTCAAAATTACAGCAATAGTATATTAAGTATTAAGGTCAGTAGGTGTACTTTACTGGTTGAGGATAATAATTGCAAACCGAGAGCGCAGCTCGAGGTTTGCAATATTATCCGAAATCGGTTAAGCACCTACTGACCGTGGTGCTTACGCTATTTTTTGCACGATCAATTTATAATTGATATAAACTAAATTCGAATGTATCAATGTGGTAGCATCACAATGGGTTCAGTAATTTGTGGGTTGCTACAGTTACGTTTCTGTTTTTGAAAACAAAACAACACGTGCGCGAAACGTGGTTTGGTTGAGACTAAGTGAACATACCTAAATGATTCAGAAGATTTCGAAATAGAAGATGCATGGAGTATTGGTTGCGCATCGATCATTCCCGAAAAATTTAAAAGTAGATATGAAGCCGCATATGATTCTTTCCTTAAATGGTGTGAAAGTAAATGTCAAACTGACATAAGGCCATGGTTCGATTCAGATATTCTTTCGCTAAGTTGCATAACCACGGCAGCCGCCGACCCATATTTTACATATATAGGACTGAAGGGCGTTGTCGAACCTTGATAAATTAGAAAGTCGTATATCAGGCCACTTTGGCCGGCTAAGACGTAGATTTTGATACCCCATTTTGTGGGTTTGTTTTTTACATATTGTTTGATATTGATTTGTCCCTTGAATGGAACTATTTGTTCATCGACACACAGATTAGTTTCTAGTGGAAGCTTGAGGCATCTTCTCCTTACAGACTCGTACAAACATCTTACCTTCCACAATCTGTAACAAAAAAACATAAATGAAATGTCATATTTGTTCCAATTTAGTGGTCTTAGTAAATACCTACCTATCTTGGTTGTTTTCTTCGCGGCTGGTAATGTCAACTATATGTATTGCCTGGCGCAGCTTGTAGAATCTAGATAGAGGCATGTTATCTTTCACTAATGGTATTCCCATACTACGGTGCCAATACATGGAGACTCGAGGAAACTGTAAATTTCCCATAATAATATGGATTCCTATAAAAGATTTGATTTCAGTCAAACTAGTTGAGGGAAACCTAGCAGTATTTTGCTGCGTGGCGTATAAATTTGTCATATCAGCCATTTGTTGCAGTATTTTATCGGGAATATATTTAGTAAAAAATTTTACTGGAGCTGGCAAATCTACAACTAAGGTTGATGGTTGACTTGCATGCCAGTGAATATTCCTTGTTTCGTATTCTATATTGTCTTTCTGTATCCACCTTATTTTTGATTTTTCAGTTAGGTTATGGATTTTCGCAAAATTTTCTTTTTCTTTTTCGAATTGCCCTCTATCATCTTTGTCATTTTCCCCAATTACAATTTCCTCCGGCCCTTCTTGTTCATCTGCCAAATCTTCATCTTCATTTTCTCGATCTTCAGTACTTATTCCATCTAAAACGTTATCATTTGTTTGGTCTCTGCACACTTCGTCTAATTCCAACTCATCATCTGACAAAAATTCGATATCAGAAATATCATTTTCGAGGTAATAAAGAAGTTCCGCTTCTGTAAGTTTTCTGTGTGGGTCCTTATCTTTTCTTATATTTGACATTATCTGAAGAAAATACGATAAAAAAAACAAATTCTTCGATAAAAAACAAAGTATAGCCAAATTTGAAGGGATAGAACCAAATCAGTTCATTATGCTACGAGTATTTACAGTACTACAAATTATTTATCTCATTTGTGAAAAATGTAACTTTTTTACAACAACAAACATTAGACCCACTGAACTGCGTTTGTCCTTCCTGATGTACATACTAATTCAAACTTCATTTGTTCATCAAGTATAATATAAAAATTTCTAAAAAGTTGTGAACTTTGACGTTGCAATGCATACTTACCAGTAACAAATCACAAAACTAATTTTTTTTCAAAAATTCAACAGCAATTGCAAAAATAAAATGTCACGTCAAACGTTGTTTATGTTAGAATACCATAACCACGCATAAAATTTGCCCGACCTGATGTTAACAGTTTGCCGCATGTATACTACCCACATAAAAACATTCGACTATGATGTACATTGTGATGTACAAAGTTAGATGGCACGAAAAAATTTCGTTGGCTTCGTATAACGCAATTTGATTAAATGTACATGGTGATGTACAAAAATAGTGAAAGGAGAAACTTAAAAGTATCAATGCTCATATTTTTCAGATGATAACACTTTTTTTAAAAAATCTTTTCTGATCTTTATTTCATTATAGTAAGTAATACAGTCCATATCTGTTAACTTTTATTTGTATTAATGATTTTACTGTTGAAATAGCAAGTCTACCTCTCTCTGGTCTCCAAATATTGTTCATCAATGAAAAAATTCTTTCAACAGTAGCAGATGTGCCGGGAAGGCAAATTATAAACTCAACAAGCTTTTTTATATTTAATAAACTATTATTTTCCGAAACATCAAAAAGGCTCTTCCACTTCTTTGCAGGAATATCTAAATTTTGCAATTCTGTATAAATTTTTTCCAAAATATTGTTAACTTCAGTGACTTCATCAAATAAATCATCAATGTTGATTAGTGTTTTGTTATTAAAATATGTATTAATTATTCCCGCGGCACGGTTTACAGAAGGCCATTCCAGTTTTATTGATTTTAATAACACGAAGTCAAAATTCCTAATTTCCTCAAAATTATGCTCCCATAAACTCAAGTATGTTAAACAGTTTTGGTAAAAAGTATCAATTACAAGAAGTAACTTTTGAGAATCAAGGTCTTTATTTTTTAATATTATTTGTTGAGCCAAGAATGGTACAAATCTTTGCTTTTGCCTTTCTTCTATTTTATTTTGTAAATCTTTGTACCATAGAAATATTTCAATTGCGGTGGGTTGTTCTCCTTCCATTTTCAAAACAGTTTTGTTAAAGAGCTCCAATATACCATGTATAAAGCACAAATAAAATTCATTGTTTTCATCTTTAAAAAAATTATTTAAAATGTTAGGGCAATTTTCTTCAGATAAGAAAAACGACTTAAGGCCATCAAAAATTTCAAGAATTCTATGAATTGCTGGAAGGAGACTCAAAAATCTTGTGCTTGAATGACAAAGGACTTTTTTGTACTCCACTCCAGCAAATTCACAAAATTCCTTTAGTCTTTATGTCCTTACTGTATAAATAGAAAAATATTTAAATATTTTGACAACAATACATTCTACGTCTAAAACAGGCAATTTGTCTACTGCATTTTGTATACAGTTGTGCACAATATGTGCCGCGCACCCAATTCCTATCAGTTTATGGTTTCATTTATTTTGCAATTTAGTATAAACGTTTCCTGTACCCTTACGTTTCGCTCCTCCAAAGTTGGTGTTTGTATTGTGTGATCAAAACTCTCTAAACCTTCCCCATATAGTTTTTATTCGTTCAAGTTTTTAAAAATAAAAGCGACTATAGTTTCGGCGTACTGCCATCATCAGGCGACTAGAAGTTTATCACAATATAGCAAATTTGAAAACATTAAGAGCTAGTACTTATTGTGAAATTTAACAGGAAAACGGTAAGTTACAAACGTTGAAGACGAATAAGACGAACATGTTGTTTTTTAATTATTAACTGGCCGAAGCCAAGTGAAAAAACCTGAAGGGTGGTTAAACCGGAAAGGTTGTCCTAATTAGGAAACTTAAGTTTCAAAACGAATTATTATCAAGCCTTGTTAAGACAACCAACCGGAGGGTTGAATTATTACATTAAAAGTTGAATTTAACCTAAAAATAGACAAAGTTTTAGATTTAAAAAATAAATTATCTAAAGGGTACTTACACATTTCAAAAGAACCGGGGGGAAAAATAAACTTATAAAAGTATTGAAACTATTGAGATGACTACATATTTAAATTATTTAAGTTAAGTTTAAGTTATATTTTGGCGAACAACTACTTTCAAGAATTTTTCAATTTGTAGTTCATAAAACGTCATTTGTTACGTCAGCAGTTACTGGATCGCGTAAGCATGGGTGCGTTCTGTTGTCTATTGGTGGACCACTGATGCCACATCAATCCATTCCCAGTAAACAAATTTACAGATATTATATGTAATAATTATATCTCTACTCATACATCTGTATATCAATTTAAGGTAGATTTGTAAGTATATTTTTCATCTTAATGTCCGCATTTTTCTTCCTCTATTATATATGTAGATATTTGATGTATGGAGCCATACATTCATATATGTACAGGTAATGTACCTTTTATGTATAATCAATGTATATACAATGGTATAATGTATGTATATAAGAGGTACATCTTCATGCTTACTTTACATATATTTTATGTAATGTGTATGATGTAGATATGATGTAAAGAAGACGTTTCCGAAACAAAACTCGTGTTTTTATTGTTAAAGTAACAATGCTTCTACGTTTCGGTGGTTTACCTTCACCATCTTTATCAAAAAGAGATAAACATGGTGAAGATAATCCACCGAAACCTAGCAACATTGTTACTTTAACAATAAAACACGAGTTTTGCTCCAGAATTGTCTTGATTATACAATAATAATACTCGTGGAAGCTTAAACAACAATATATATTCAATTATTTATACAACTCGAGATACAACTATATTTCATCTCGTAGTTTCTTCATTTTTAGCCTGGTGGAGGCCAATCGAAACCATTCGCTCACCACAGCTTCAAAATCTGCATCAGTGATGGTGTGGTAGTGCTCTCCAATTATTGCTAAAACAAACAATTTCTCAAAATTTCTATAAAACTAAAACAGCCAGTTACCTTTTATGATACCCATTGTTATGGTTCCTTTTATTTTAAAATTACCACGTTGTCCTAACCATGAGCAATGTTTCGCCATTTCGTTTGAATATACTGCCCTCAGACATCGATGAATGCTGTCTTTAACATTTCTACCTCCAATCTTCTCAATATATGCTGTCTGTAGAAGGTACTAATTTAATAATTTAAAAAGCAAAGTGTTGCAACCACATACCAGAGCTTCTTTCGCCTTGCCACTTAAATTTTGTTCAAAATCTATCCATTTGGTAGTATCTGTAAATGGTAAATTTTCGATAATTGCTTCTTGCGTTTTCAAGGATTTAGTTTTGTTGCTACTTGTCAGTTCTATTTTATTTAGTTTTGTCATGATAGCCTTTAAATAGTGATTGTTTTCCACTTGCAGTTTATATACTTTTTCTGAAAAATCAAATACAAAACTGAAAACTTAGATTTATATATTCCAAGTCACAATCGTGCCCACTATGCACTTAACTTTTTGCTTGATTTATATATGTTTCTACATTCACTTATAAATCTTTATATATCCTATACCTAATTGTGCTGTTAATAATTCAAAATCATCAGCTTCAGCACTTGCTTCCGTACTGTGCTCCTCCTCAATTTTGTCATCTTCTACGTCAAGTGTTTGATGAGTAACATTCTTTCCATCTAGGGGTAGGGAAACGACCTGCTTTGCAATAGCTGGAGTCACTTCTATATTATTATTAATATTGGTTAATATCCCATCAATTATTTCATAGCATCCTACGATACCTGCAAATAAAATGGTACTATATTATGAACATCTGTTGCCTACACCTAACAGATTATTTGGTTACACTATTGGAAAGCACAGTGAAAATTATATTTTGGATACATACTTGATTGTTGTTGATCTTTGACAACAGATGCTGATGTAACGGGTCGAGTATTTTTATTACCTTTATTGTATTTCTTAGGTAATTGTGGAGGCTTATCAAAATCATCACAAGAATCTACAAAAATAAATTGTTACAATGAACAATATATTTTATACAAACAACCCAATTAATTTTTTTTAAATATAAAAGATTGAAAATAAAAATATTTTTACCTTCGTCACTTCCCTCAAGGTCCACCCAACGTTTAGGTTTATGTCTTATTCGACTCTCCTCCTCCTGTGACGTATAGTCAGGATCTTGGGCAACTCGCCTAGCTTTTTCCAAAGTATCTGCATGAAAATAGGATGTGTTAACAAAAGACGAACAGACTAGTTGTATTAACAAACCATAAAGCCCTTCGATATTTATTGGCTCCTTTTTCCAATTTTGTTCTGGTAGAACATTTTTGATCATCAACTGTCCACAATTCTTTTGGTTTGGCCAGTAGCAGAAGGATTTATCTTCTGCAATCCAAGCTGAGGGAATTTCAGAATATGATTCTTCTTCGTTTATGAATTTCACAACAGCATACATCTAGTGCACATAAATACAGTTGTACAATAATAATAAAACAATAAAATAACATCAATTTATACAAAAATCCATAACTAAAGCGTTAAGCATAAATGATTATTAAAAACCTTAAACTTAGTGAATTCCTAAAAGTAAAAAAGTTTTTCTTTTATCAGTATCACTGATCAGTATGTAAAATAGGGAGTGCAATATTGTTATTGTTACTTATTTTTAACATAACACATTTCAATTTTATCTGATTTATTGGCACTTCGACTGAAGCTGTATGATGTAAAGGGAATGTAAAAATATTGTAATTTCGAGATTCACATGGTACAGTAAACAAATCTTTAACGTTAGTATATAAATTAACAGATGCACTAATGCTGGCATCTGTTTTAAAAGTATGTTTAATATTTGCAACGTTTCCATTTTTTAATATGCACCAATTATTGGGCTCTTTTGAAGAAATTGTAAACGTTTTAAAATGAATACAATCGATTTGACCATTGTTTTCCAAAATCACAGGATAATGAGCAGGGTTTAGTTTGTGATGCACATAATTACCCTCAATAACACGATTATATAATTGCTCTAATGGCTTTGGACTAGACTTAATTTTCTTTTTAATCTTGTACATATAATTTTCAAATTTGAAAGCGCTGAAATTATCCAATGATCCAAATTTTCTAACATCATTACATATATGCATAAGATTATGGACATTATAGGAAACAAACTGTGGTCCGTATAAGGTTGAATATGATTTCACAAAATAAACAAGCAGTTCCTGGGCATAGTGGCTATACTCTTGTATTAGTTCATTATATTACTTAAAATTCTTATAGCTAAACTTAAACACAAAAAATGTTCATAATATTTTTTTCTTAAAATATCTTTTAAAACCACTAGTCCGCCGTACAGCAAAAAAAACCGTAACTCGGTAGCCTTCCATCTATCAATATCACACAAACTTCTTGGCCGTCTACTAAATTCACAAGGTATCAATTTTTGGAAAGATATGTATCTTGCATTAACTGTTTTTATAGCTGCTTCATTTAAGCGCAAATCTTTTTTGCCTTTAATCCAAAATTGAATCAATCTTTTCATAGCTCCCAAACATACAAGATGCATGTAATCAATTGGAATTTGAGAAACCATGCCTATATTTAAGTTTTCTAAAATACTATCATATGTGTGATGCTCTTCTTGGTACTCTTCATGGACTTTTTTTAATGAATTATCGGTGCGCAACTTTGAATCTGTTTGTGGAAATGTAACCCGATGATCTACGAATATCCCTTCAGTTGTACACTTTGAGCATCCAAAATATCCGTTATGATTTTTAACTCCTGTAATAAAAGCTCGAGCGGGTGCATCACAAATGAATGAATTTATTTTAAAACAATGGTGATTATTATCCAAATAAAAACCGTTTATTAAAAGATGTTGAGCTTCATCACAAAATGGCTGTAAATAATCATTTGAATTTGAAGGCTTTTTTGTCCCATAATACACTCCCACAAGAAAAGGCTAGGTATATAAATCTTTTGTAACAATTGCACCTTGAATTGGCCAAAATTGTGCACCTGAACTATTGCTAATATGAAGACCGTCAATATTAAAGTTTACATCCACGATTTCGGTTTTGTAATTATGACATAGCATTGATTGAATCAACATTTTTTCTAATCCAAAGTGTATATATTCACCACCTGCAATTTTTGATATCAGATTTGAAGTTTTTAAAGGGGTCTTCATAAAAGTGCGCACATCTTTAGGTAAATATACATGTCCATGACTTCGTAACAAAGGTAACAGTTCATTCACAAAGCCATGTGTTACATTATATTTTAAAATTAAAGAACGTAGCTCATTTTCAAACACTGATTGTGATGTCTGCGCCCTTGAAAACTCATATGGTGGAGAGTTTATAGTTGACGGCGAAAAAGATGAAGATGTTAAGGAATCAGATAATGTCTCATCCAAAATCTCATTATCAAAGATTAACTTCACACTTTCAGAGGTAGATATCAATATTCGATGCTGAGGGAGTTGCTATATTATCGGAAACCATTTTACTACATTTATTATCTTTCAGTTTGTGTGATAGGTGATGGTTAGAAATTCTACGCCTCCTTTGACGCTCGGATAAATCAGCGAAATCTTTAGTTTTTCTTTTTCGATTCATTTTTGATCTAAAACGATAGACGCATCTAAGGTGCTCTGCACGCGAATGAAACATTCAATTATGACAATACATGCAGCGCATTCAATACTTATAAGAAATAGGTATACTACCTACCTTGAAACAACTAACAAAACCGCTTCAGTAAAACACACAATAATTGATACGCTGGGCGCCTTTAGCCTTAACAATAATAACCACAAAACACGAAACGCATTGAATAAAAATAACCGTTAAAACCGCAAAAACGACAGTCGACAGAGTAGCCAACATACGTAACACACTACGTTACCAACTTAAAGTTTTACTGTATTTAGTGATATATTTTATGTAGGCAATATTACGTACAGTGTACGTAATAAGTAACGCATACCGTTTATGTAAATATAGATGCAGAGAATATACATCACGTGCTTTATGTATTTAATATGTTTTACATATTACATATAATATATACAGGGTGTTACACGACCGTTCGAAAAAAAAAAATCGGGTTGTAGAGGGCATCAAAACAAGCACTTTTTCCAAATAAACCGAGGGTCCAACGTGGTTCGTTTGGGAGCCACCCCCCAAAGAGTGTTGAAATCTGCATTTCTTCTTTAATTTTTTTCTCAGCAACCATAAGAGTTACAAAGTCGGGTGGCATGTCTTTGAAATGAATGAATATTGAAAAAAATTGAATTTTTAATAATTTTTTTTTCAAAATTCCTACCCCTAAAGGGCGCACCCCTAAACTAGGGTGCAAAAAAAAATTCTGATTTCGACGAAATTTGGTATCTGGGGGTTTTTTAACATGAAAATCACGAATCTGAAATTAGTTTTTGAAAATTCGAAAAAAAAAGTACCACTGCAATTCTTGGCGGGACAACGAAAATAGAGATAATTCCACGAAATTTGTTGTGTACATACTAAACGAGTTAAGGAACAAAACTGTCGAACAGTTTTTTTAAAATAACTTTTCAAACAAAAGTTATACTCATTTGAATGTTGGTCCTTCGGGTCGCGAAGTGTCCCAAGCCTACTAGTAAGCCATAATTTCGCATGTGAAAGGAGCGTGTTCTTTTGGAAGTTATTTTTCAACCTAAGATTATGAAAATTTTTGATCATAGTGAAAAAGTATCATACGGAAAGTGATTTGACTTTTCCCCTACCTTATTTAGATAATAAATAATCGATCAGCGCTTTAAGATACCTTGGTAGGTGTTTTAATCGATACATCGAATTTTTTAATCATTTAATGAATTACGATTACGAATTAATTCCAAATAACAAAATATCGACTCAAACCGTTAATCTTTTGTTTTTGCGACATTGTCAACCAACACATGCGAAATTATGGCTTACTAGTAGGCTTGGGACACTTCGCGACCCGAAGGACCAACATTCAAATGAGTATAGCTTTTGTTTGAAAAGTTATTTTAAAAAACTGTTCGACAGTTTCGTTCCTTAACTCGTTTAGTATGTACACAACAAATTTCGTGGAATTATCTCTATTTTCGTTGTCCCGCCAAGAATTGCAGTGGAACTTTTTTTTTTTCGAATTTTCAAAAACTAATTTCAGATTCGTGATTTTCATGTTAAAAAAACCCCAGATACCAAATTTCGTCGAAATCAGAATTTTTTTTTGCACCCTAGTTTAGGGGTGCGCCCTTTAGGGGTAGGAATTTTGAAAAAAAATTGCAAAATCGGAAAGAGCATACCCAAAAACCTATTCAAAGACATGCCACCCGACTTTGTAACTCTTATGGTTGCTGAGAAAAAAAATTAAAGAAGAAATGCAGATTTCAACACTCTTTGGGGGGTGGCTCCCAAACGAAACACGTTGGACCCTCGATTTATTTGGAAAAAGTGCTTGTTTTGATGCCCTCTACAACCCGATTTTTTTTTTTCGAACGGTCGTGTAACACCCTGTATACAGTTCATGTAGGCATATTATCATCTATAAACTGTATAGATATGCTATATAAATATTATTATATAAAGTAAATTACATGAAAAATCTGTAATTTGTATATAAAATTTATATACTTGTTTACTGGGTTCTGTTGTCAAACGTTGTGCAACGGCAACGCGTTCCGTTCTCAACTGGCGGGAAAACGTTTGATGCATCAATCCATCCGCGATTTTTTAGATGGAACTGATGTAAGCTGAACTAACCTCACTATTATCAAACTTTTGGCGCCGAAGTATACAACAATTACAACAGAAAAGATGTTAAAAGTCCAAATTAATGGAAAAATATTGCAGTGGAATGAAGACACACTTGTTGTACAACGTTTTAATAATGGTACAATATAAATTATTAAGTATTAAATGCTATTGCGTTTTTACAACACTTGTCCAAAAATCAAATTTATTCTTGTGAAATATATTTTTAGATGACCAATTTGCTCAAGAATTCATTACACAGATTGTAAAAAATGGGAAATTAATACAATTTGGAATATCACCAAAGGATATAGTACAATTTAGTCGAATAATTTAGGAAAATTCATCTCCCCTGCAGGAAGATGTAGATGCAGAACAGAGTGAAGAGTTCAAGGAGCAATCTCCAACCCCTTCAGGAGATTCTGGAAAAAAGTGGACCGAAGAAAGAGCGATATTGCTTGTGACAAAAAGATTAGATGAAGAAAGGGATTTCATAAATCCCAAATGTAAAAAAAAATAAACTTTGGAATGACATCGCAAGGCAAATGACCAATGTATGTGGTATAGAATTTACAGGCACTGAATGTGACAACAAATATCGCAACCTGTTATATACTTATAAGGCAAATAAAAAGAAAAAGAATTCCACTGGCCAGGGTACAGTTCACTGGCCACTTTTTGATACCTTCGATAGCGTTCTTGGCTGTAAAGCAAATATTCAACCTCCTGAAAATACTTTAGCATCCACAATTGACGTTGAAGAAGTCGAGTCTACCATACCTACACCTCAAATTAAAAAACGTTTTTCCAAAGAACAGTATTTACGGCAAAAATTGAAAATTTATGAAACATATATTCAAAAGAAAGAAGAAAGAGAAGAAAAAAATTACAAATATTGCAAAAAATTAGTGACAGCTTATAAATTATGGTATTTATTTTATATTCTGGGTCAAAATGATATTTTATTTTTATTTATGATAGAGTATATTTTTTGTTATGATATATAGTTTAATAAAAATAATATAGACAAGTAAGTGTGTTACAGAAGGTTTTGCATAATTTCTAAACGCTTTTCTTTTGCTGCGCTATTAACTAGTTCCTCTCCAACACTATCTGCATTTATATCTTCAGATGCATTACTACATGAAGAATCTTGATTATCATCTTCATCGATGCAAACATTATGTAGAACACAGGCAGCCATTATGTAGTATTTTGCATATTCTACCTTCTCAACTTGTAAATATTTTAATCTTCTAAATTTCTGTTTTAAACGGCCATATGCCATTTCTATCACAACTCTGGTCGAGCTTAATGTGACATTAAATTTTTTTTGTGCATTAGTTAAATGGCCATTATCTCGAAATGGGCACATTAAAAATGTATCCAAAGGGTAAGCGGAATCACCTAATAGATGTAAATCTGCAGGTATATTAGAGCTTTTCAATAACTCATACACTGGACTCTGCTTCCAAACATTCGCATCATGGCATGATCCCGGGAAACCACAAAATATATCCATAAATTGCAGTTTGGCATTGCACACACCTTGTAAGATGACAGAATGAAAACCTTTTCTGTTGTAATAGGAATTATCACTTCCTGATCCAGGTATCGGAATGTGTGTTCCATCTACACATCCTATCACACCAGGAAAACTGTTCTGCCCTCGACATTGGTTAAATTCGTCTACATTTTTTTTATAATCGTTTGGCCAAAGTATAAACCTGCCTCTTTCATTGTATAGGATTTTCATTACCCTCATAACCACTTCATGACAATTTCCTTTTCCCAGTCCAAACCTATCGGCAATGCCTCGGAAACATTCTTGGTTTGCAAGACACCAAATTGTTGTTAGTAATGCCGTTTCGTAAGAAAGTACACTTTTCGTTCCAAGTGACACATATTTTTGTTGTGTTAAACATATAAGCATCTGGAACAGAATTTGAACACACTAATCCTGCCATATGCTGATGCACCAAGATAATTAGGTACCTCAACTTGAGTCCTAGTCAAACGGAAGTGTGACTTAAAATCTGTATCTGTGTATTGATGTATAATTGTCATATAGTCGGTTATTTTAGCCTTTTTACTTTGCTGTTCATCTACAGAATCAGGATCACTTGAGTAACTTTCATCGGAGCTAGATACTTCCTCTGAGCTGGACATAGCTATTACCGCCGCAAGGGCAGCAGATAATTTTCGCTTCCTGTAAGTAATATGTAGGAAATCATTTTGGAATAAGAAAAAATCAATGAACATACCATTCCATAATTTAACTAGGGACGATACAACACAAGGTGCGTTCGGTTTCGAGCGCGGATCGATTTTTTTGCTCTAAATCGTTCGGAAACTACCTCTAGGATCAGATGCGCATCGTTCGATAACTAGATCTAGAGCAGAAAGATCGCGCTCCGTTTGCTCCGATATTTTTGAGCGAGCTCACGTATTTCAAACAGCTGATTGAAGGAAGTAGGGTTAGAATAAGTTATTTTGTTTTGAACGTACGTGGTATGAATCGCGAGCTCCTTCCTTTTTTAATTAATTTCTCGAACGAAATTTTTTTTAATGATGAATCTGATGACGAAGAAAATGGGGAAAAGCTACATACAATCCCAAAGGTTCCAAATTTCGTGGAAGAAATTGTTCCTCGATTTCAATCATATTATTTCAAGCAAAACTTTCGATTGCTGCCTGCTACATTTGACAAGTTATTGGGGTACTTACATCGAGTAAGATTATCAGAACACAAACGCATTGATGGTCATCCTGAACTAAATTTAGATAAACAATTACTAATTACCATTTGGTACTTAGCGAATATGGAAAGCTTCAGGTAAGTACAGGTAAAAAATATTGTGTATTGAGGAATAACATTTTGACTAGGTCAGTGGCTTCAAGATTCAATGTAAGTAAATCGACATGTTGGGATGTCCTGCAAAGAACTGCACATAGATTATTAGAGGTGAATAGATTGTATGGTATTATACGATGGCCTTATGAAAATGAAGCTCTAGAAACGATGAGAACTTTCCAAAGAAGCATCTCTATACCAGGTGATACTCGTATTGTTCTACTCGAGATGTTTTTGCAATATTTTCTTATGATGTAGGTATCATTGGTTGTATTGATGGATGCCATGTGAAAATAATAGCTCCAAAAGACCATCCCAATTCATACGTCAATCGTAAAAAATTCCACTCCGTTTTACTACAAGGCGTTTGTAATGAAAAAAAATTATTCATCGACATATATGCAGGGGAGCCGGGGTCACTTCATGACTACAATCTATTTCTGAAGTCAGATTTGGCTGAACTTATCAGAACGCAATCAGTGACCTTTTACAATAATGGTCATTTAATAGGTGACCTTGCCTATAAATTATCAACCAATATGCTAATCGGTTTTAAAAATTTTGGTAATATAAACAGACGAGAAATAAATTTTAATAAGAAATTAAACAGTTGCAGAGTGGAAATCGAAAATGCATTTGCATTACTTAAAGGCCGCTTTAGAAGGTTGAAATTTATAGAAACCGTAAGGTTAGATTTTATTTCATTATTTATTGTCACTGCAGCAATTTTGCACAATGTATGTCTTTTAAGTAATGACCTACCTGACGATATAGTTGACCTTAATGAAGAAATTAGGGAAGTACAGAGGAATGATGTAAATGAAATGGTTGCTAATGAAGGTGTAGACAATAATGCGGAGCAAAAACGAAGAAACATTTTATTAAATTTGCCTTTAGATGAATAAAAATATTGTATGCTGTTGTACTGTTTATTCTTTTTTCACCAAATAAAATATGTTAAGTTATTTAAAAAAAAAAACTAAAATTAACCCTTACTATAAAAAAATGAAAAACGTACAATTCAAAACATTTGGTTACATTTTAATTTTCTTTATCACCAACACAATTGTTGCAGTGATTTGCGTCAGTACCCAATTTGTCCACAAGTTTTTCAAATATATTTAAAAATCGGTCCTGGCGTTCCAATTTTTCTTTGTGTCTTCTTTCATAAGCGTTTTCACTTACTTTCCTTTTCAACGGTTTATTCCTATTAGATACAGGAGTACTGCACCTAGATGTAGATGGAGAAGGTGTGTTGTTCCTCGTAGTTTCATGTTGTAAGTTGGTCTCTAAGAACTCTGGCGCAAATACAAAACTATGTATAAAGACATGAAGAGGTATGCACAGAATTACCTTTCAACCCTCTGGAACTACTGCAAGTGGCTACTGCATTTATTTCAGGCTTATTAAACAAAATTTCATCCATGCATGCATAAAACTTCCAATATTTTGTATCATTTCCTGATGTGTCATTGTGCTTTTTAATGCTTTTATATTGTTTTACCAACCCTTTCCACTTAGTATCGCATTGCACTCCTGTAATTGTCATTCCGACAACTTGTGATATATGACTTCCAATTTTATTCCACACAAATTTTTTTATTCCAGAATTAAATTCTTCATTGAACTTCTGGTACAGTTCAATTAAAATTCGTGTGCTATCATCTGTCCACATTCTTCGATCTTCCATAGGTAGGTCAGCCTCATTGTTCCCATTTTCTTCAAATTCTTTTACAATCTCGACAGTTTCTACTGGATATGTTACAAACTCTTGAGCAACATTTACTAACATAGATGGATCTGAAAAATGAAATTAGGCATTACGAATAACTGATAGATGAAAATTTGTTAAAGGTGGCGAAAATATTGATCAAAATATTCTTGTGTTGGTAACCTTTGTTTTGCTTATTTTAGGTTGGCTCTGCAACTTCCTGTTAATGCACTTCACTTCCATGCCAACTTTCGTGTTATGTACAAGTAGATATATTTTTCTCAGTTGTGTAATCTTTTTTATTAAACTTTTCTCTTAGTGTCATTGTTTTAATCAACAATAGGTTATGGGCCCAGTTCGTTTGTAATCGCGTAGCTAAGATATTGTGTTTTTTAAAAAAACGAGGTTAGGTTTCCGGCGTGTTACTGCACGTGTGTACAGAACAGACTCCTTTTTGCGTTTTTTTTTGTGTTCGGTGATCTGAAGAGTCGAAATGGATTTCAAGACACAGATCGAAAAACTGGAAGGCACAAGCAATTGGAGTCGGTGATGAAGACAAGTCGAGTTGTTACTTCGACATCAGGAGGTGTTGGAACTTGTGGTTGGAGATAGGATATTTCCGGAAGCACCTGCCGGAGAACAGTTATCGGAAGCAGCCAGGAAGTCGTATGAGATGGAGGTGAAGTCGTACAACAAGAGTGACGCTCTAGCTCAACTCATTTTGGTAAGCAGCATGAACGATGCCAATGTGGACTTGACGGCAACTTGTAATTCCGCAAGTGAAACCTGGAGCAAGCTTTTGTCGGTGTACGAACAGAGTTCAGGTCAGCGTGTCGATAGGCTGATGGAGAAGTTCTTCAGCTGTGAAAAGGATTCCACAGAGGATATCGCAACACATGTCGCACGTCTGCAGAGGAACTTCAGGGAAAACTGAACGATGAACTCAAGAAACTTGTGAAGACCGAACTGCCAGATTTGCTTTTGATGAGTAGAATAATGTCGACACTGCCATCCGATTATTTTGAGTTTAAAAGCGTTTGGGAATCGATACCTTTGTCTGAAAGGACGATTAACAAGTTAACGGAACGATTGCGGTTAATTGAAATGCGTCTTCCAGAAAAAAGAAGTGATTCAGCAGCTCTCATCGCAAAGGATCAAAAATCTACCGGTAAATTTGAAAAGAAAGCGGAACCGCGGAAAGTTTTCAAATGTTTCAAGTGTCACAAGGTAGGCCATCTAGCGAAAAATTGTACGAAGAAAACAGATGCCGCGGGAAAATCTAAACCGGCGGGAGAAGCATTTGTTTGTACAGATGCCGACACTGATGAGCAATGGTTGGCAGACACCGGTGCATCTGCGCACATGACTAATAACAAAGGTTACTTTCTAACCTATGAAGTTTTCGATGTTCCGCGCGATGTTCAAGTTGGGAACAATGAAGTAATTCGAGCGTACGGACAGGGCACAATTAACGTCGAAATGAAAGTGAAAAGGAGACTGGCATCGCAACCACCTGCAAGATGTTTGGTATGTACCAAAAATCGGAAGAAATTTGTTTTCTATTGGCCAAACGGTAAACAAAAGTTTTGAATTTACTGCTGATAAAAATGGGTGCACATTTAAGAAAGATGGTGTGGTACGTTTGGTAGGAAATAAGACGGTTAAAGGTCTTTATGTTTTAGCGATGCGTGTGTGCTTACCTGATAGTGTTGCAAAAGGGTTTGTCGCAACACAGACCGAGACTTTACAGCTGTGGCACGAACGTTTATGTCACCAAAATAAAAGACATGTTCAAAAGGTGTTAAAGCGAAGTGGAATTGATGTACAAGTTGCGGAGGAATTCTGTGATGGATGCGTTTTGGGCAAACATCAACGTAAAAGTTTCGGTGTGCGTGTAAATAGACCAATGACTCCCGGTGCATTAATTCATGCAGATGTTTGCGGGCCGATGCAAGAAGAATCGCTCGGAGGTGCTAAATACTTCATTTGCTTTAAAGACGATTATACGAAATTTCGTCGTGTGTTTTTTATTAAAACAAAAGCGGAAGTGGTGAACTGTTTAAAAGTAGTAATAAACGAAACGAAAACTATTGGACATACGATAAAAGAGTTTTTAAGTGATGGCGAAAAGGAATTTGATAACTCGAACGTGAAGGACGTCCTACAGTTGAACGGAATTAACTTTCGTGTAATAATGCCTTACACACATGAACAGAATGGGGTTTCGGAACGCGAAAATAGGACACTCGTGGAGTGCGCCCGGTCGATGATCTACGCAAAGAACCTGCCGATAAAACTGTGGGCGGAAGCTGTGAACACGGTGGCATACATTTTAAATCGAACCGCTCCCACACCCGTTGAGAACAAGACGCCGGCTGAATTATGGTTTGGTAAAGACGGTATCAATCTAAACCATTTCAAAATTTTTGGTACAGAATGTTTTGTACATGTACCGAAAGAAAAGCGGCAAAAGTGGGATAAAAAGAGCATCTCTGGGAAATTTGTAGGGTACTGCGGAGAAAAGGACGGGTACCGAATCTGGATAGAGGCAGAGAAGAAGGTTATTCGAAGCCGAGATGTCATCTTCAAGGAAGAACAACTTTTACAGAAGAAAGTAAAGCTGTCGTTAGAAAATATTCCAGATGAGTACGAAGAAATTCCGGTAGTTCCTGTAAAAGGTGAAAGTCAAACCGTAGACGCTATTGAAGTGAAAATCACTGGTCCGGAGGAAGTTGTGTCTACAACTACGGAGGAAGTCTTACCCACTACTTCGGAGGAAGCTGTCAGAAATCACGTTGCCCCTACGACATCACAAGAAAATATCAGAGGCATGGGACGACGTGAAATTAAAAGGCCAGCACATCTACGTGATTATGTGTACTTAGCCGAACATAACGTACCAAACTCCTACACCGCAGCAATGAAGACAAGTGAGTCGGAGCAATGGCTAGAGGCTATGAATGAAGAACTAGCTTCGCTGCGACAAAACGACACGTGGGATCTTGTAGATTTGCCACGACATCAATGGGTGTTTAAAATTAAATACCAACCCGATGGTTCCATTGATAGGTACAAGGCGAGACTGGTTGCGAGAGGGTTTACGCAGAAAGCCGGAGTCGATTATGGCGAAACGTTTAGTCCAGTGGTTCGTTTCGACACTGTACGAACGATGCTTAGTATTGCGTCGGCCGAAAAGATGCAGTTGAAGCAATTCGACGTTAAAACTGCATTCTTGTATGGAAATCTACAGGAGGAGATTTACATGAAGCAGCCTGATGGTTTTGACGATGGTAGTGGTCGTGTGTGTAGACTGAATCGCAGTCTATATGGACTAAAGCAATCCCCCAGGTGTTGGAATGCGCGCTTTGTAGATTTTTTGTGTAATTTGCAATTTGTGCAAAGTGTGGCGGACCCATGTTTGTTCATAAAAAGGACAACCCGGTCGAAACTATTTGTTGCCCTTTATGTGGACGATGGACTCATTGTCGGAACAAGTGACAAGGATATAAACTGTTTTATTTATGAACTTAAAAGACAATTTGAAATTACACTTTGTTCAGCAAATTATTTTGTAGGTGTACAGATCAAAAAACTTAACTGTGGTTCTTATTTTCTAGAGCAGAAGGTCTACACCAACAAAATTCTGCAGCGGTTCAATATGAATGAATCAAATGCTGTTACAACCCCATCCGAGGCAGCGATCATGGAGGATGACACACCAGGAGAAGCGGTTCCATATCGTGAGGCTGTAGGCAGCTTGATGTACCTTGCTGTAGCGACAAGACCGGACATAAGTTATGCGGTGAGCCTGGCATCGGAATCGTTAGAAAACCCGAAAGCTGCACATTGGAAAGCAGTGAAAAGGATTTTCCGTTATCTAAAAGGAACGATCGATTATGGGATCATGTACCGAGTCACTAGCGAAAATCACGGGTTTCAGGCTTATAGTGATGCCGATTATGCGGGAGACTGCAAGACGAGGCGATCTCGGACCGGAGTTGTTTGTACCAACCAGGATGGTGCAATTTCCTGGTGTAGCAGAAAGCAACCCTGTGTGGTATTGTCTACTAAGGAGGCGGAATACATTGCAGCGAGCGAGGCCGTCAAGGAAATAATATGGCTGAAAAGGCTGTTTTTGGAATTAGGTGGGGAAAATTTTATTCCAACCCTTTTCGTTGACGACCTTAGTGCTATTAAACTTGTAAAGAACCCGGAATTTCACAAAAGGTCAAAGCATATAGACATTAAATTTCATTTCATTCGTGAAAAGTTTAGTGCAGGTGAAATGAACATTGAACACATAAGTGGAGTTGACCAAGTAGCAGATTTGTTCACCAAGTCGTTGTCTCGAGTAAAATACGAAAAGCTGAGATGCCTACTTGGTGTGTGTTTTCAATAACAATACAATATTTTGGGAGGAAGTGTTGAAAATACAAAATATTCTTGTGTTGGTAACCTTTGTTTTGCTTATTTTAGGTTGGCTCTGCAACTTCCTGTTAATGCACTTCACTTCCATGCCAACTTTCGTGTTATGTACAAGTAGATATATTTTTCTCAGTTGTGTAATCTTTTTTATTAAACTTTTCTCTTAGTGTCATTGTTTTAATCAACAATGGTGGTTAATCAACATGGTCACTCCCTAATTGTCTAATTACCTTTGTAAATGCTCGTTAAAAATTCCTTATCCGGAAGTTGAAGCGTAATCTCTTCCCCATTATTAATTTTCAGTTTAATATCTCCCATTTTTAAATGAAGAGGTGTAATGAAAAAATAAACAAAAAGTAACCTAACCTTAAACTTTGATTACGTTTCCATACACCGCTAAATATGCAGAAAGCGTTCGTTTACTCGCAGACGAATCTGAAATATCTAAACGGATCCCGTTCCACTCCGCGAGCTCGAAACCGAACGCACCAACAGTATCGTATCACGAGCATTAACATAGATGGGCACGTAAATAAACGACAACAATTGTTTGAGTCGATGTATAATAAAGGCGAATTTGGCGACGAACGTGGTTTATCACTTTATAAACACGGTTAAAGCTGTGACGTCATCAACAACTGTCCTCGCCAAAATGAATTTTTCCATGTTTGATGTTTGTTGTTTGAACTTTGAAGTTTAAAATTTTGTGGTTATGTTTATTGTTTATGTTCTTATTTAAGACCCGTCTTACACGAGCAATAAATATGTCCCTATTTCTGAATTTAATTGTGTTGGAAAGAATATGGTGCGTGTAATACACCGATTATAACCATAAAAAAAATTTTGTCCATAAAAATAGAACGTGTTCTATTTTTGTGTGCATAATATGCGCAAACAGCATGCGCAATCTGTGATCCTAGGATATTGTTTGTCACTTATAATTGCACAAGAGGTTTGTATTTTACCGAGTAAATTTGGGTTGTTTAGGTAATGAAAATCTGTTGCCTAGCAATTAGACGAGAAAAACTGTCAACTAATAAAAATGCGACACCGCAGGTGGAGCATTTTTAGGTTGACAGTTTTTCGAGTCCAATTGCTAAAAGGAAACAGATTTGAATTGCCACAACCCAAATTTATGTAACAGTTTAGTTTATTCATATTCAAATTTCAAAATTACCGCTTGCTAGGTTAGGCAGGATATAGGTGAGATGGCGTCACTTGTACGCGGGCTTCTTTCCTCGCGCAGAATCGCGTTAATTTTTCACTTCATTTCCGTTTTAAAGCCAACGAGGTTGTACTTGTTGTAGAGCGTGGCATTGTGAATTCTTCTTAACCCAGTGGGTAATATTTGCCATCATTCATGTGAAATCTCTGGCAATTTTACCTTTTCATTGGCGTTGTCGAGTAGAGTAACTCAGAAGCCGTTTTCTCCGTTGTGAGGCTATATCTGGTGGAAGTTCATCGCCCTACCTACATGTAAGTGAAATGGCGTTGACTTTCTTTTACGTTATGTTATCTAAAATTCTTTCAGATTCACAATTTGAGGTTGGATAATTTCCCTATTTCATTGATTTAAGTATTTTTCATTACCCTCCTGACGATTTCAGGTATGTTATTAAAAATCTCGTTAGGGAGTGTTACATCTTCATTACTTTTAGGGGGTCCATGTAGTAGATGAATTCTTGTACCGGTCAATCCATGTAGTAGGTCAATCCTTGTACAGACGAATCCTTGTATGTAAATGAATTTGCATCTTGCGAATATTCCGGAGTACGAACACCTGTTGATTGCCGGCAGCTATCCGGTGTACCACCGAGTAGATCAGCGCTAACACCTAAACGATACCGGGAGCGACCAGCTGATTGTGGAATTTTCGGAAGATACGATCTTTTACACAACCTTTCTTTTTTTAATTGCTTCAATACCGTTAATCTAGTGTAACCTTCCGACGATTTATGATTGGAGCTTTGTATTTTGTTCGCATCTAGTGTTTGAGGTCGTGGCTCTCTTCAAGAGCAACGCACCTGTATTTAACGTATGGGTAAACGAGCCGGCTACGAGTAAGCTATTTTTGGCCCTTCCGGCTCATATAATCGTTCCGAGCGTTGTAGCTTGGGGTTTGTTTTTGTGTTACAGAACTGGAACTTCGAAGGAGAGCTCTTTTTCGGAGAAGACAGCGTATGTGTTATTCAAGGTAAGATTTTTAATTTACTTGTACCCAGTGTTGCCTATATGAGTTGTTATTCGGGTTAACTTAATTCAATCTTTGAATCCATTGAAGTCTTAACTACATTTTTGCTCGATCATTGTTGTAGGGGTCTGGTAACGTAATTATTAGGGAAGTGTTCATGAATTTATTTGGGGATTATTTTTGTCATTTAAAGTATTTGTTATTGTCGTATTGAAGATACATTTTATTTGCCGATCCTGCACCGTTTTTGCCAGGATTAATAAATCAGAATTGCTCGTAGTGAATTTATTATTTGGCTCTCTTGTGTTTTCCCAATTTCTATACAGGAGAGGTCAGAATTTGTGCAAAATTGGGTGGCGCTCAACTAATCATTTCTAGTGACTACCAAAGATCAAAAACTTATGTTATATGCCCAAACGAACAAACCGCTGTGGAAGATTCTCATCTCGAGCCCTTCTTTTAATTAAGAATCTGAGCTAGCTGGCCGTTTATGCGGCGGGGTTTGAGTTTTACAGCGCCGAACTAACCTCACGTTATATTTATTCGGTTTAAATACAAACCTCGAGTGTAATTCGGCAGGACAATTTAACGAACAAGAAATTCACCAAACTAATCAATTATTGACAGACGTCAAACTAGTCATATGGGTAAGGATAATGCGATTATTGGTTCGAAAATGAATAAGTGAAAAAACCACTAGTGCATTTGTCGCTGGAAAAGTTGCAGGTAACTTTTGCCGCTGTCAAAGTGACAATTACACTGCGGCTTATGTGATTTTTTATACATGAGTTGAATTGTCAAAGTAATTGAAAATTGAAATTCATTAAAAAGAAAATAGAGTATTTGTTTGTCTTCAGGTCTGTAGTCAATTAATCGAAGTATCTACCTAGTTGTAATTTGAATATAATTTTAAAGTATGGAATTTGACGAATACACATTGTATAGTATTGCATCAGTGGCAATTTATACAAATATGCTAGCCCTAAAGTTCAATACACGTCGCAGGCGAAGAGTTTGGTCAAAAAATGGCATGAAAGAAGGAATATGGGAATGGGGATATTACATATGTTAAATGACGAGCTACTACAAGAAGACTCTGCAGCATATAAAAACTTTTTACGGCTAACTAACCACCAATTTGAAAAACTGTTGCGATTGGTAGAACCACATATCAGTCGCCAAGATACTGTTATGAGGCAATGTGTTTCAGCGAGAAGCAGGTAAAGAAAATGCTGATTGAAAGTGGTATATATTTTAGACATGTTATTCAGGCTTGAACTTACGCTTCGCTTTCTTGCAACCGGAGAGTCTTACCGTTCGTTGATGTATTCTAGTAGGATACATGAATCAACCATTTCTCTATTCATTCCTGAAGTTTGTGAAGTCATATTTAATGTTTTAAAAGATGAGTTTTTAATGGTAAAGTTTTATTTTATCAATTCTCTATATATATCTCTTCTACATTACAGACTCCATCTACTCCCGAAAGTTGGCAATCAATTGCTGATCAGTTTATGGAACTATGGCAATTTCCTCAATGTGTAGGGGCGCTTGACGGACGTCATATTACATTTAGACCTCCAAAATCGGCTGGATCATTTTACCACAATTACAAAGGGGATCATTCACTAGTATTATTGGCATTGGCCGATGCGTGCTGCAAATTTACATACATTAACATTGGTGTTAATGGTAGAATAAGTGATGGTGGAGTGTTTCGTGATTGTACTCTGTCAAAAGCAATTCAAAATAATTCGTTAAATTTTCCACAATCTCGACCATTACCAGGATCCAGTAACAATGTTCCATATGTGATAGTTGCAGACGACGCATTTCCACTGTCCACAAGAATATTAAAACCTTATCCACAACGAGGTTTATCTCACGACAAGAAGATATTTAACTATCGGTTATCAAGGGCACGACGTATCATTGAACATGCATTTGGTATTCTTGCCAACAGATTTAGAGTATTGTTAAATCCGATATGTCTGTCACCAAATAAAGTAGAAAAAATTACTTTAGCTTGTGTGGCACTACATAACTATTTATGTACAAATAGTGGACAATTTTATACTGATTTTGACGAAGCATCAATTATCACATTGGATACATGGAAACCACAGGGAACAAATCGAACTTCCAGATCAGCATTATCTGTGAGGGATGAATACAAAAATTACTTTTGTTCTCCTACTGGCAGTGTAGAGTGGCAGGATGCAGCAGTTTTAAGACACAATTGTTAATCATACAATTTGAATAAGTGTATATATATGTATATAGGATCACTCAGATTTTATTTGAAATTCTTGGAAATTATATGTACAATATCGCTTTCTATTTTATCTAACAAATCGTCATTCTTGATGCGGCGTAATTTTGGTTCAATGTACTTAAGAAAGACATCAATCCTATCCGCCTTGATAGTGCTAACATCAGGCTTCTTGCGTGCAACTGCATTAGCAATTTCATTTATCGCTCTGCTGGCATCTGCTAAATAGTCGATTTCATTCCCCTTTTTTCTCTTTAGTTGAGATTGTGGTCGGCTGGTTTGTGGCGTCTGTTCAATTACATGCACATTTGAGGCGCCTCCATTGACAGGTTCCTAAAGTACATTTATTTACCGAAACATTATACTTATTGACAAATATAAGGAAATACCTCTTCAGTTTGTGAATCGTCTGGTTCGTCTTCATAAACAACCTCTAATTGTGAAATGTCCGTAAATTCCAACGATTCAATATTACTGTCTGATGAAAGAGAAGGTGAAAGAGGCTTGGGGATGCTATCATAAATGGCTGTCTTTGCAATTGAATGCTCCAAAACAAACAGCATTAAATCATAATACCAAATGGTAGGTATATACACCTTAAAACATACATTTTTAGAACTATACGATTTGTTGCAATGTAGATTTGCATTTACCTGGTCTGTACCGCTTCCACTTTTCATGGAGTTTTCGTGTTTACGATATTCCACTAAGAAATTTTGTCGAAGAGCTGCAAACTTATTTTTTACATCTGCAATCGTTACACCTGCTTTCACTGCCTCCAACTTTGAACAGATGTCTGTTAAGGCAGCATTTCTCGCATGCTTGTTTTTGTATTGTGGGGATTTAACCACATACAAGTAAGGGTGATTTTTGTACACTTCAATGAGCATGGTGACCTGCTCTCTTGACCACGACATTTATTAAAAGATTGTTATTTGCTACAATCACAAGAAATTGCTTATTGCACAAAACCGTTAATATAGTGACAGAGAATAGTGAAAACTGAATGTGATATATTATTTTTGGTTATGTAGTATGTACATTGCTGCCATTCAAAAAAATCCCTAGATTTCCAACAGCTGAATACAGAATTTCCCTATATTTTTTATCATAATTATATCCATAGTTTGACAAACGTGTAAAGGGCGGTATAGTTCTCGTAAACATAATTTTAAGAACACAAATATACTTCAAATTTTTATCACAATTGTGGCCATAATTATGACTCGTGTAAGACGGGTCTAATGCAATGAATCAGGAACAGAAATTACTTGTATTAGCAAGTCATTTACTTTTTGATGATGACAATAGCATCATTTTACAGTTATTGCATAACACAATTAATAATTATGGCATATGGGAAAATATTGTTATGTGTCAGTAGACTAAGGGAAACGCACATCCGACCAGATGGTTATTATGAAGATTGGCTACCTCATTATCTAGAAACAGATTTTTTTAGAATGTTTCGTATGTCACATACCACATTTGAGCAGCTGTTAAAGAAAGTATCTGTAAAAGTTCAAAAAAAGCATTTTCATGGAGGACATATACCAGTCCCACAAGGAAAGTGCTTATTAATCACGTTATGGTACCTAGGGAAAGCAGAAACATTTGTTTTTATTGCTGACAAATTTAATGTAAGCGAATCCACTGCGTTACATATTACTGAAACTTACATAACGGCTGTGGCAAGTTTAGCATCGGAATATATTACATGGCCTAATGCTGCAGAAGCTGTTGTTACAGAGCAACAATTTAGAGCAATGGCTGGATATCCTGGTAAGGTGATTTAGGTATATCTCTATAACTACTTACTTATCGACCTTTATGTTCAATTGATAGGAGTTATTGGAGCAATAGATGGATCCCATATCCCTTGTAAAGTGCCAGAAAAACATCAACTGAGCTATTTAAATAGGAAACATTCCCATTCCATAATACTTCAGGGAATCTGCAATGCAAATTGTATGTTTACCAATATTTTTGTTGGATTTCCTGGATCGGCTCATGATTCTAGAGTAAATAATTTTGCGTGGAAATTATACCTATAAAAACCTGATATTTTATAGGTATTTCAAAATAGCAGTTTCTACAAAAATTTAGAAGAGCTCGGGCCAAATACTTATTTTTATAACAAGAATCATTTACTTGGAGATTCTGCATATTTCTTGAGGGACTGGTTAATTACTCCTTACATGTATGTTACGGTAATTTTTGTAAGAACTGATTTATTAGTCCTAACGTTTCAGTGATAATGGTCGGCTAACCAGAGCAGAATCAAATCATAACACAATTCATAGTCGTACAAGAGTAGTAATTGAAAATACATTTGGGAGACTAAAAGGAAGGTGGAGGATCCTTCAATATGTCAACGTATATAGTGTTAAAAAAGTAGTTCTAATAACTACAGCATGCTGTGTGTTACATAATTTTACATACTTGTCTAAAGATCACATATGGCCTGAAACCCATGTTGAGGACGATACATTTTATGCTAACAGTAGACCTGAAAAAAGTTCATTACAAAGCAGTATGAAACGTAATTCCATAAAAGATTTATTAATGAGTAATGTCTAACACGAATACTTAACTAGCACCACCATTTTGTCTTTTCATGTAAAATTTTGACGTTTTGTGTTCTGCTGACCTAGCGCCAGCTAGCGCCACTTTGAGTTCAGCTAGCGCCATTATAGATTTTGCAGAAAAGCCCTTGACTTTCGGGGGGTGCTATGTTAACGCCAGCACCACCATTGCGTCCGATCATTTCCAAAAGCAAGCGCTGTGTTCGTCAGACCTAGCGCCAGCTAGCGTCACAAATTTTAGAGCTAGCGCCACCCCCCAATAGTGCAGGGGGCAATTTTTCCTAGCACCACCATTTTGTTTTTTCGGGTAAAATTTTGACGTTTTGTGTTTTGCTGACCTAGCGCCAGCTAGCGCCACAAATTTTAGAGCTGTCATCACCCTCCAATAGTGTGGGGGGAGGGGGCACCACCATTTTGTCTTTTTGGGTAAAAATTTGATGTTTTCTGTTCTGTAGACCTAGCGCTCAAGTTAACCTAGCGCAATTATAAATTTTGCAAAAAGCCTTTAACTTTTGGGGGTGGTTTATTAGCCTCTAACACCACCATTGTGTTCGATGACTACCAAAAGCAAGCGCTGCGCTGTGTTCTTTAAACGTAGCGCAGAGCTGGCGCCCAATCCCCAACATTGTGGGGGTCCTTTTTTTATAATACCACCGGTTTGTTTTTTCGTGTACAATTTTGCTATTTTATGTTTTGCTGACATCTCCCAGATAGAGTCAAAATCTTAAGAGTAGGCGCCACACCCAAGTAGTCTGGGACAGTTTTTCCTAGCTTTATGACTTGGCACCACTGAAATATTTTGGATTAATTTTCTAGTAAAACGAGTGGTGTGGTAGCTGAATCTGCGGCAAGTATTAAAATAAGGATATACAGTTCAATTATTATAGAACAGAACCATATTTTTATACCTTTCGCAGTAGAGACATTGGGACCTTGGTGTAGAGAAGCTCGAAAATTTTGTGGAATACCTGGGAAAACGCATTACCAATATTACTGGGGAACCCAGAGCTACCACTTACGACAAATTCAAGTATTGCCATACAACGTGCAGGTAACGCGGCCAGTCAGTGTAATGGGGACCACGATCCCCATGGAAGAAAATTATCGTTTATTAACGAGCTCCTAGCGAGTTTATAATTTTGGGGTGTCTATCCGTCTGTCCGTCCGTTAGCACGATATCTCGATAACGAATGGAGCGATTACGATAAAATTTTGTAGGTGGATTCTTTACGAGATTCTTTATCAAGTTTGTAGATCGGAGTTCGTGAACTGGCAATGTAACCCAAAAAAATAAGGAAGGCCCTTTTGACATCTCCGTGAGTTATGAACCGAATTGCATGAAATTCAATATACGTATAGCTTTAGCCATATAAAACGCAATTCCAAAAATTGAGCCTAATCGATCAACATTCACAATGGTCTTTTCGCATTTCGACCATTTATAAACCGAATTGCAAACTTTTTTATTTTTTATTTATGAAGGATTTAAATGAAATTTGATACATAACCACTTGGAATAAAAGCAAATATAACGCTAGTTTCAAAATTTGATTTTGCGCATGCGCAGTGCCAACTTTCTTATTTATGGAGGGATTTAAATGAAATTTGACACATAGCCACTTTGAATAAAAGTAAATGTTGGAAAATTAGTAGTTGTGATAAGTTTTTCTTAAATATTTAAAAAACTATACTATTTAGCGCGAAATAAAATAAATAATCTACAGTAAATTGCGAACAAAAATGGCCTCATATATAATCTTGCTAAATTGAACCATTCCAGAGTTACGGAGGGTGTAACAGTAGAAATTTTTCATCTTTTTTTTTAGATTCTTTTGGAAAAAATATGAGATTATCACTAAGGAAACTATTTTTTTTGTTAAAACCGGTTAAAACAAATTGCGCTTTAGTGACCGGTGGTATGTTACTGATAAGTCCTTGAAGGAACGATAACCTTACCACCTTCTCAAGGGGGGCCATTTTTTCAAGAGACTTCCACTATGAGGGACAGTAATTCCTGGGGAGTTGCAGGATGTGTCGTTATTGCTCTCAGGTGTTCGACAATCTTGCATTCCCACTTCATCGGGTTCTTCTTCTCATGCAGCCACTGCTGCACCTGATGGTAAGTTCTAAATGAATGTTCTACCTGGTAGCTGCTGAAGTGGGGAGAAGCGCAGCCAACTTGAACAGTGAATGTATAGGATGCTTTGAAATAGCTTGCAAGTAACACTGGTAACGAAAACAAGCCAGATCTGCAGTGTTCTTTACTTCAAACATGATTTCATTTTTACAGAAAATCGAAAAAATACGAAAAATGCCTACTGTTACACCCTCCGTAACTCTGGAATCGTTGACTTGACCAAGATTATACACAAGACCATTTTTATTCACAATTTAATGTAGATTATTTTGGATATGGTACTTTTCTCGCCAAGCCCCATAGTTTTCTAAATATTTAAGAAAAACACCAAAAACTACTAATTTACCAACTGGTGTAAGTTTTTACCAAACAATATGTGGACTGTATAGAACAATTTGCAGTTAATGGGAAACTTTTACTTTTGACGTTTAGGTTAAGCCGTTTTGTCGACTAATTGCACCGTACTATATTATGAATTTTTAATTTTAAAATTTCCATATTAGGTACTGTTTCTTGTGAAATTTTTCTGTTTTGTGCTCTACTCACTAAACAATTCTTTTTGTAAGTCACAGTATTAATTTCACTACCACAGTATTGCGAGCTAAATCGTTTAGAACACAGCGCAGTGGAAAATTTGAAAATTTCAACGAACGTACCTACCTACTCATAACCTATATAAAGTCGTTAAATCAATCAGCATATTTGTTAATTCTGCTAAAAAACAAAGAAGCAGTTTTTCAATACTTATGTGTAATTTCCGTAGCTAACTAATTTTTATGGTGCAAATGAGGCATATGTATTTTATATGATTAATACACTCCATTAATATACGACCAATCAGCTAGGTGATTGTTTCAAATTCTAACCAATCAGATGATTTTTTATCTGATTAAATGCTAGGTAGCTCTTTACAGCGATAAAAATGCGTGTAGGAATACGTAAAATTTGTAGTGGTTGTAAAATTTACTGTCTTTTATTAATCTCCCTAAAATACACTCGACCTTGATCAGGATAACTTTATTTTTAATTCACTCAAATTTGGTTGCCTCCTGGAAAAAACTCTCGATCAAAAGCATAATATTAATAAAATCGCTCCAGCAAAAACTGTCGCGATTTTATCACACTTTTGGTTTCGAGTTTTTTCCGTTGCAACAAAACTTTCGTGTAAAAATAAAATTATGCGATTAAAAATCAAGCTCTTGTGTATTTACTCTCGATAAATTATATACCTATGTACGTCACGTCGACTACTATCTAAAGGTGTTTTTTTAACAATGCAGATTTACCAACATTCACACAATTGACGCGCCTGTAAACCCTTGATGTGACAAATAATTTACTCTTGCGCATTCATAAAGGATTTAAGTAAGTTTGTACCTGCATACCTCACCGTCAGTTTACTTCGAAATGAAGGGTTACAATCTTGCTACTTTATATACAAATTTTAGTATTTTTATTGGAACTTTTTACTTTAAACAGAACGATCAATCCAAAAAGTAAAGGATTTCAAATTGAAATAATTTGATTATTATTTCCGACCCTAAGAGGGACAGATTTGCACATTCGGGTTTAAAAAAGGTAAAGAGTTTGACCATCCCAGATGCGGTGTCTGTCCGTTAGCACAATAGTTCGATAACGAATGGACCGATTACGATGAAATGTTGTAGTTGGATTCTTTATCAAATTTGTAGATCGAAGTTCGTGAATTGGTAATGTATCCCAAAAAATAAGTAAGGCCCTTTTGACATCTGCGTGAGTTTTGAACCGAATTGCATAAAATTCAATATTCGTATAGCTTAAGCTATATAACACGCAATTCCAAAAATTGAGCCTAATCTATCAACATTCACAGTGCCCTTTTCGCATCGACGTGTAAATAAATATAGAAAACGAGCTCCTGGGTATGGCTACAGCATGTACAAAACCAAATTTTGAACTTGGTGTTAGTTTTGCTTTTATTTAAAGTGTATATGTATGAAATTTCATTTAATTGCTTCCATAAATAAGAAAATTGGCACCACACATCATGCACAAAACCAAATTTTGAAACTGGCGTTAAATTTGCTTTTATTCCAAGTGGCTATGTATCAAATTTCTTTTAAATGCTTCCATAAATAAGAAAGTTTTCAATCCAGTTTGTAAATGGTCGAGATGCGAAAAGAGCACTGTGAATGTTGATCGATTAGGCTCAACTTTTGGAATTGCGTTTTATATGGCTAAAGCTATACACATATTGAATTTCATACAATTCGGTTCATAACTCACAGAGATGTCAAAAGTGCTTACTTTATTTTTTGGTCTACATTGCCAATTCACGAACTCCGATCTACAAATTTGATAAAGAATCCATCTACAGAATTTCATCGTAAACGGTCAATTCGTTATCGTTATCAAGATATCGTGCTAACGGACAGACGGACAGACACCACAAAATTATAAACTCGCTAGGATTTATAATTGCGCTAAGTTAACTTGAGCGCTAGGTCTACAGAACAGAAAACATCAAATTTTTACCCGAAAAGACAAAATGGTGGTGCTCCCTCCCCTCACACTATTGGAGGGTGATGGCAGCTCTATAATTTGTGGCGCTAGCTGGCGCTAGGTCAGCAGAACACAAAACGTCAAAATTTTACCCGAAAAAACAAAATGGTGGTGCTAGGAAAAAATGCCCCCCGCATTATTGGGGGGTGGCGCTAGCTCTAAAATTGTGGCGCTAGCTCTGACGAACACAGCGCTTGCTTTTGGAAATGATCGGACGCAATGGGGGTGCTAGCGTTAATATAGCACCCCCCGAAAGTCAAAGGCTTTTTTGTAAAATCTATAATGGCACGAGCTGAACTCAAAGTGGCGCTAGGTCAGCAGAACACAAAACGTCAAAATTTTACATGAAAAGACAAAATGGTGGTGCTAGGAAAAATTGCTCCCCTTACTATTGGGGGGTGGCGCTAGCTCTAAAATTTGTGGCGCTAGCTGGCGCTAGGTCTGACGAACACAGCGCTTGCTTTTGGAAATGATCGGACGCAATGGGGGTGCTAGCGTTAATATAGCACCCCCCGAAAATCAAGGGCTTTTCTGCAAAATCCATAATGGCGCTAGCTGACCTCAAAGTGGCGCTAGCTGGCGCTAGCCATAGAGATTCTAGCGCAATCTGTCTTTAGTCAAAAATTTGAAATGGTGGTGCTAAGTTAACGGAGCCCAGGGTTTTTGCTATAAGAATCTTGCATAATTTTTGCGTGAAGTAACAATGAATTCGCAAATTTGTCATCTAAAGAAAACAAAAATCATTTATACATAGGTATAAAGGTACCTAAAACAATTGTAACTTACCTTCACGTGCTCGCTGAGCATCTTCCTCGCTCAGAAATAAAGTATATGCTATTCCACTTTCGGGATCAAGAATTTGAAGTCTTTTGGTACTTCCCATACTTCCGGCTTGCCAAAAATATTTAAAAATTTACGTTCACACACAAATTGTATACCACGAGCTATGTTGACAGCTAACCTCAAATCTGAAAAATGTAAACAAAAGCGTCAAGCCGAAGCAGTATAGCTTCTCCTTGAGGGGGCAGGGGAAGGAAACATTGGACGAGCTCAAGGCGTAAACGCTAACTTGAAAGGAACGCTTGGTTGACAGTTACGCAGCGCCTGCGGGCAGCTAAGTGGGTGAAAGGAAAGCGCCTATTGTTGTTCCTTGTGCTTAAATTTCATTGAGGTTAGGTATGCAAAAGTAAACAAACAAAGACATGGATAAAGAAACTTTCTGTATGATTAATGAGATATTATTTGATGAAAATTATTTTGAAAACGGTATTTTTAATGTATTTGAACATAAAAACAATACCTACATCATGGAATTGTATTTATGCTTTGTTATTAGAGAAAAGCATATTAGGCCAGATGGTTATTTTGAAAACTGGTTGCCTCAGTATGTGGAAACCGATTTCTTTAGGATGTTTAGAATGACAAGACAGACATTTCATAAACTTTTAAATGTCATTCCACATACGCGTAAAATCTACCATGGGGGATATGCTCCTGTGTCGAAAGAGAAGTGCCTTTTGATAACATTATGGTATCTTGCCAAGGGGGAAACTTTAAGATCGATTGGTGATAGGTTTAACTTGAGTGATTCCACCGTTTTCAACGTTACAAATGACTATATTCAATCAATAGCAGATTTAGGTGATAAATATATTGTTTGGCCTACAGAAAATGAGAGTGTAGCTGTACAACAAGAATTTAAAAATTTATGCGGCTATCCAGGCAAGTGGATGTAATGTCTAAATAAATTTTCTTATAAGGAAATTAATTTTATAGGAGTAATTGGTGCGATTGATGGAAGTCATATTTGTTGCAAAGTACCAGAAGAACATCAGTCCAGTTATATAAATAGAAAACAACAACATTCTATTGTACTGCAAGGAATTTGCACGAGTAATTACATTTTCACAAATGTTTTTATTGGGTACCCTGGTTCGGTTCATGATTCAAGAGCAAGTAGATTCTGCCTCAGTGTTGATTGTGAATCATACGGTTTTAAATTATAGGTGTTACAAAATTCTGGTATTTATCATGATATGATGGAAAATGGGATAAATAAATATTTTTACAAGAAGTATCATTTGTTAGGAGACTCTGCTTATTTCTTGAGAGATTGGCTTATTACCCCTTATACGTATGTTTATACAAATACATAATGTGTAATTATAATACTTTTCTTGTAGTGATAATGGAAGGCTTACGTTAATACAGAAAAAGCACAATAAACGTCACAGCATGACGAGAGTTGTGATTGAAAATGCATTTGCACGATTAAAAGGGAGGTGGCGTATATTACACTATGTAAATGTATGCAGCATAAAAAAAAGTTGTCTTAATAGTAAAGGCCTGCTGTGTACTCCACAACTTTACGTATTTGCTAAATGATGTATGGCCAGAAGTTGAAAATCCTGCAAGTGATACTGATATGGCTACTGGAAGAGAAAGCAGAAATGCCGAATATGCAGCAGGTGTTACAAAGCGAAATCAAATTACAGAATCGTTATAAAAACATGTACATTCAGATTATATAATGTATCATAAATTTAATGATTATAAACTGCTACAAGGATATTAAGTACCTCTGATTGAAAATAAACTAAGTGCACTACTATAAAAGCAAACTAGACTTATTAATATGTATACACTAGTCAGAGTCTGAAGATTGTGAACGTTTCCTTTTTGAATTTGCCTTTTTAAATATTTGTAAAAAGTCCTTCTTATACTTATTTATTCTGTTCAATCAATAAGTTTTCAATTCTTTGAAAATGTTGATCATTTTGCTCCAACTGTTGCTTTTGAAATTCCTGTATCGATTTTAAGATTTTATCTGTGTTCGTACTTGGTGTTATTTTCTTTTTTGTCTTTAGCCGATTTATTGGTGTTGAAGCTCCCGATGTCGCTGTTTCAGAGCCTTCATTGAATTCTTCAGATATTACATCATCTACCTCAGAAGTAGTTCCAGGTGTGCCAATATCAACACTTCTTCCTAAGAATATACTATTTATTTCTATCATTACTTTTGGAAAGTTACTTACCCGGTATCGAGTCTTCTACACAAATTGGATTAATGTTGTGTTTATCTTGAAAAACTTTTTCTAATAATTCATAGCATACAGGTAAAACTTTTCCTTCGGTACCAGTACGTTTACTTGCCTGTTGTAACTAGGCATGGGAATTTTTTTCGATATATCGATAGGTATCGATAGGTATCGATAGTTATCGATATATCGAATAACAATAGGTAGAGCTAAAAAAATCGATATATCGATAGATCGATAACTATCGATACTTATCGATATATCGATACCTATCGATATGTCGATAACTATTGATATATCGATATGTCGATAACTATCGATATATCGATATGTCGATAACTATCGATATATCGATATGTCGATAACTATCGATATATTGATATGTCGATAACTATCGATATATCGATATGTCGATAACTATCGATATATCGATATGTCGATAACTATTGATATATCGATATGTCGATAACTACTGATATATCGATATGTCGATAACTGTACGATTAAATTATGTTATTGTTGAGATTTCAACGAGCGCTACTATTTTTATTAATAAAATCCATTTTCGGGTTTACTCTCGTGTAAATTTACTATTTTTAGTCGCTCGACGTTTCGGAAACTTAACTTTGCTCCCTTTCTCAAGAGAAGCGCTACGTCACATCATCATCCATGCCAAATAAACGCAGTAATAAAATCTTTAGAAAATAGACCTTTTCGTCTTACTGACGATTGCTCAAAAAAAAAAGCACTTCAAAAACCTGAACAAAATGTTGCATCAAAATGGCTACTCTTTAGGTAAAATAAAGAAGACAATCAAAGGGTGCAATCATGGTCTATGTATCGGTATCTGACTGATGGTTACAGAGGACCAGTCACAAAAAAACAGAGAAAGCTAAGAACACTTCAAATTTAGATATACAGTTTCAATTGATTGACATTTACGAAATCTAATAAAAAACTCTTGATAAAGGTAGCAAAGAAACGTCGAGTAACGAGTAACTATTACACGAGAATAAACCGGAAAATGGATTTTATTAATAAAACTCGATAAGATAACTATCCCTGTCGATAACTATCGATACGTCGAATATTTCTCTCAAATGAGACGTGCAATTATCGCTTAATTACAGCGGTAATTGCATTGTAGAAAGCTAAAGAGCCCTGCGATAATTGCACAGTTAATAATGGTAACTCCAATAAAGTTACAAGAACTGCATTCGGTTATTTTCATATTTTGTTAAAAGAGCCCTCTTGTCTTGTCGGGCTCTTTCGCCAAAATATAAAAGTAAACTCATGCAGTTTTTAGACACGCTTTCAAAAAAATTATTGGTAATATTATATCGATACCTATATATTAAAAACTATCGCCATAACGAGAACTATCGATATACCGATACTTATCGATATAGCGGTAGTTATCGATCTTTCGATAGTTATCGGTGTATCTATAACCATCGATATTTCGATAATTATCAGCATATCGATAAGTAAAATATATCGATACTTATATCGATAGGTGAAAACAGTTATCGCCCATCCCTAGCGATAACTATCGACATATCGATATATCGATACCTATCGATAGTAATCATATATCGATAACTATCGATATATCGATAACTATCGAAATATCGATAACTATCGATAACTATCGATAACTATCGATATATCGATAACTATCGATAACTATCGAAATATCGATAACTATCGAAATAGCGATAACTATCGATATATCGATAACTATCGATAACTATCGATATATCGATAACTATCGATATATCGATAACTATCGATAACTATCGATATTTCGATAATTATCGGCATATCGATAAGTAAAATATATCGATAGGTAAGTACCCGATACTTATCGATAGGTGAAAACAGTTATCGCCCATCCCTAGTTGTAACTGTATGTAGGTTTTTTGTAAATTATAATATTTTTGACGGCACCGCTCTGCACCATCTTTACCTTCTCCAACATCGAATCCTCTCTTCTTCAATTCTTCTGCCAAGAGTTGCCAAATTTTAAATTTTACGGTTTTTTTATCTGCAAACATTGATTCATATTTATCTAGGCTTCGAAGTTCTAGGAATGTCATCGTTGCTTCGATGTCCGTTTGTGTTGGATTTCTAGCTGATTTCCAAATAGTAGCTGTACTTGTTTGTGGCACTAGATTTTCAATACTTGAACAATCTGCTTCTGCTACAGGTTCTTCGGCAGGTAAATGGAGCCGTAAATATGTATCTTCTTCAACATGTAATAACTGGCCTTCCTTCAACTCATAATGGGCACCAGTATTGGGAGGAAGCTTGTATCTGTCACCATCTACAAACATAAAAGTATAATTACGAAAACTGTCAGTTTGCCACTGTTGTTTACTACCTGCAGTTTGTAAAACGTAGCATTCATCTTCAACATCCACAACACTAACGTCAATTATTGTTCTGAGCCGCTTTCGGATGCTGTGTTTAAAGCTCCAAGAGCGTTCCACCCCGAGTTACACGCAAATGTGTTACACACGAACGCTTGAGGTTAACGTTCGTGTGAATACAACCTTAGATTTTTTTAAAACTAATCAAACAATTCTTCTGTACGTTTTTTGTCAAACATGAATAAACTTTTTGATAAAGAAATAATGGTGAGTGGGATCTGGGATGCGTTTTTATTATATGCCAAATTCGATTTTGGTTATTGTAGGAATGGCTTTTATGGAGCCCTACTACTCTTTCCAGCGGTAGCAGTAGTAGTAGCAGTAGTGATGATGAACAAGAAGCTGAACCCAAAAAGAAAATTGCAAAATTGGACCAATTTGTTGAAAAAACTGTGGTAACCTACACCGATTATATGTTCAAACAACTTATTAGATTGAGGCGTTCCACAGCTTATCAATTAATTGGTGAGAGTTTGAACGTAACACTAATTCTAGATAGTTAATCCCTTATTATTTTTTTTTTACTTTAGGTCGATTCAGAGCAAGTAAATATGCTCCACGTTCAACGAATAATATGGGAACATCAGCGGAAAAATGTGTATTAATTTGTTTATGGTACATGGCAAACACTGAATCTTTTCGACAGATTTCGGACCGCTTTGATGTGGCTCTTAGTACGGCCCATATCATATTAGTCAATGTTATTCATTATTTAGTTAGTCTTCGAACTGAATTTATTAAATGGCCCAATAATGAAGAAAAAAGACTCATTAGTCAAGAATTTTGTAAAAAAACAAGGTTTTAAAAACGTAATGGGATGCATAGACGGAAGTCACATAAGGATACAAAGACCAGAAAGAGACGAAGACGCTTATGTTAATCGTAAAGGTTACCATAGTGTTTTAGTGCAGGGGATATGTGATCATAGAAAATTATTTTTGGATGTGTTTTGCGGAGAGCCGGGGTCTATGCATGATGCACGCCTATTACGTAAGTCATCAATATATAGGAAAATGGAAAATGCACAGTATTTTGGTAATTATTACTTGCTTGGAGATTCGGCTTATCCATCGTTACCATGGTTAGTTCCTCCATACCGTGACAATGGACACCTAACCGAAAATCAAAAAAATTTTAATTTCAAATTGTCGTCCACAAGGATGGTCATCGAGCATACCTTTGGATTATTAAAGGGCCGATTCAGAAGACTCGGGCACTTTGAAAATTTGAACATATCTTTAATTTCAAAATGTGTAATGGGTGCGTGTGTATTGCACAATATGTGCATTCTCGAAAGTGATTTAATGGATGTAGCTCATGAACAGATACAGCCAGATCATGACGAGGGGATAGATTCTGTAGAAGTACAACATGAAATAAATGATAAAAGAATGTATGTTTTTAGACAATTGCTTGAATAGGTACATCACATTTTAATAATTCCAATAAAACCCATACAAAATGATTCTGTACATTATTTTTCTAAATATGCCTTCAGCAAAGCTACTTTCTGTTCTTCTATTGCTAATTTTTGCCTCTCTATTTCCATCCTTTCCGCATGGTTTTTATTCTTGTCTGCCAGTTTTTGTTTTTTATATTCCAAATGCATATTCCTCTTTCTTTTCTTTGGAGGATCATTTTCTTTTGTTTCTTGTTCTTCATTTCCCAGCTGCGGATCATGTATATTCTCTGTTTCTTCCACTGCACTGTCATTTGCTTCAATGGAGTGTTCACATCTGTTCGTAGGCTTCGTACCGAATATCTCATCCATTTCTTCAAAAAACTGGAAACGAGTAGGTCCACGACCTGTTTTTGTTTTGTGATCTTTCGCAGAATGGTAACTGCGAACTAGTGACTTCCACTTGACTTGGCATTGTGTCGCAGTACAATGAAATCCATCACTGAGAAGATCGTTTGCACAATTTTCATACACATGCTTCTTTTTTTTTGGATGATTTAAATCATCGAGATGAGTTACCATCGATCTAATGAGAGCCTAGTGTTTCGTTGTACTGCCATACATGCGGTTCATTAGCTGTAGAAGTTGAAGCAGTTGCGGGTGTGTCATCCACATTTGAGGACTCTCCTAATACATTTCTACTTTCGTCCTGTGCTTCAAAATCCGCTTGTTGTTCTAAGGCGATTGCTTTGTCCAACAATGATGTTGCAAAATAAATATCTTAAATCAAACATTTTATTTAGGCAAAAAGAATTTATTTCCTAGGTACCGCTTTGGGCTCTCCTATACTCATCTTCAGTAACTATGATTTTATAAACTAAGTTCGTTTGAGGATCGACAATTTCCAGTTCCATTACAAAAAATATTAAAAAACCAACCGATGATTGCACAGTCAAAAATAATCATAAACGTTTAGGTTATGTTCAATTTTGACGCATTTGCGCAACGCGGAGTAACAAACCCCAGAAAAATGAATGGTGCTTGAGAGGCAGGGGACGAGGAAAGATTGGCAGCTAAAGAGCATCAAGCTCTGTAACATTCGAACACTTCGAGAGTTGCCGTGGAGCACTATGAGCAGCTCTGGTGCACTTACGCTGTTACACCCGAAAGCGGCTCATATTCTCCATGGCAAATTGAAAAACACAAAAGCTGTTTTTTAGCGAGCGATTGGTTTGAAACAGTAATTCGAACCGATTTCACTGTGACGTCATTGGTTTAAGTGATCGCTAAAATGGATGTTTTTAAACCATTTTAAATGTAAACATAACCTATATTTCCACACATAAGTGAAATGATCAAAATCAACTTTTACATTACATTACTGAATTCGAGACCGAATCAATGATGTTGCTATTAAGGGTAATACAACATTCAAACGATAATAATGACCATTCATTTATTTCTGCATTATTAATGCTACAAAATGAACAGCATTTGAGAATTAAAGGATTTTACGAGGGACTGGATGTGTATTTGGATTCGGATTTTTTTAATTTATTCCGTATGAGTAAAATCGCATTTAACAACCTTTTTGAAAAAGTAAATTGTATGGAGTTAAACAAGCCCTACACTGGAGGAGAACATCAAATTCCTGCTCGGAAACAGCTCTTGTTAACAATTTGGTGGTTAGGCAAGGGAGAGACCTTAATTTCTGTGGCAGACAGATTTGATGTCAGTTTGAGCACAGTATATCATTGCACAAATTTTTTACTTTCAAAGTTACTATCTTTACAATCAAGATATATTACATGGCCTGATCTTGCAGAAGTGTCGAGAGTTGAACTAGATTTTCGTGAGCGATGTGGATTTCCAGGTAAATTCCTTAGAAAATATGCTCTGTCATAATAAAATAATGTTACAGGAGTTGTTGGAGCGATAGATGTTTGCAATATATGTTTTAAACCGCCCGTGGAACACCAAGAAAGCTACATAGATCGCAAAATGCAGCACTCTATTAAACTTCAAGCGATTTTAACATCACAAAAAACATTTACAAACATCATGGTTGGTTTCCCTGGTTCTGCTCATGATAGCAGGGTGTTTATTTGTAGAATGTGAAGAACAGGGAAATCACCGCAAATATTTTTATAACAACTACCACCTGGTTGGAGACTCTGCTTATCCCTTGTATAGTTGGCTGATGACACCATACAGAGATCGTGGACATTTAAATCACATTCAAAGACGTTACAATAATTTACATAGCATCACAAGAATTGTAGTTGAGCACTCCTTTGGAATTTTAAAATCAAGGTGGAGAATATTGAAATATGTTAATGTCAACAGTGTTGAGAAGGCAATGAAAATTATTGGTGCTTGTTGTGTATTACACAACTTTTGCTATATTAATAGCGACTATTGGGATGTGTATGAACTGTCATAATATTATGTTATGACATGGCGCAGTCGGTGCTATTATAAAGCAAATAATTAGAACAAGTAGTAAAGTTGGACAGTTTAATAATTTTTTAGTAAAAGAAGATAGCGATGCAGTCGTTAAATCAGCCGAAGCCTATGAGTATGGAAGGCGATTTGTCAAAGAATTGGAAAAAGTTTGTAAGTGGATACAAACTTTTCATAACGGCAACCGGCAGTTTGAATAAAGAAAAAGGTGTACGAGCGGCAATTCTCCTGCATTGCGTCGGCGAGGAAGCTCGTGAAGTTTTTGAATCTTTTGATCTCACCGAGGAAGAAGTAAAAGACCCTGATGCGATTATCAAGAAGTTCGAGGGATATTTTGTTCCTGAAGTCAACCAAAGTATGGAACGGCATCGTTTTAACACCAGAAGTCAAGCAAAAAATGAGAACATCGAGGCGTATTTAGCAGATCTACGGAAAATCGCAAGTAACTGTAACTTTGGTAATCTCAAGAATGAGTTGATAAAAGATCGAATCGTGTGTGGCGTGCACGATAAGCGAGTTAAAGACAGGCTATTGCGGGAACAGGATCTAACGTTAGAAAAAGCAGTGGCGATTTGTAAAGCAGCCGAGGTGACGGAGTCGATGTTAAAGGGTCTATCTGAAGATAAGCTGGAAGTTAGTGCGGTAAAGAAGAAAGGGGCATCATCATCTGGACACTGGGGAAAAAACGTAAAATATAAATGTAATAATTTTGTTGTAGACAGAGATAAGCGGCAACATGAACAAAAGAGACAGACAGGTACCAAAAGCAGGCGCGCGTGTTACAAATGTGATAAAATCCACGAATATGGAAAATGTCCGGCATATGGGCAGCAATGTAGAAAATGTTATCGATTAAATCACTTCGCAAAGGTGTGTAATTTTAAGGCCAAGGTTAATTTTATATCAACAGAACCAGAACCAGGCTGTAGCTATGATATCAGTGTTGTACAAATAGCTGAAATAAAAAACAAAGGCCGGGATTGGTTTGTTGATATAAAATTATCTAATAACAACGCATTATTGCAATGCAAAGTAGATAGTGGGGCACAAGTCAATGTAATACCTTATCATCTTTATAAACAATTGCGTATATTTGATCACGCAAATTTAATTAAATCAAAGGTTAATTTATTCAGTTACGGGGGTGAACTTTTAAAAACACTGGGATACTGCACACTGCAAATTATTCACAGAGGAAATAAATTTGATTTAAAATTTTATGTTATAGATACTGATAACAAAGCAGTTCCATTATTAAGTAAAAATGCAATAGAACTTTTAGATTTGGTAAAATTAGATACGGAAGTGTATGCAGTAAGTGAAAAGATTCTGACTAGCAATTGTCAGGTTCAAATTGAGGATTACGTTGATGTGTTTGAAGGAATAGGTGAAATAAAAATGCCGCCCTGTGATTTCAAATTAAAAAGCAACTATGAAGCCAAAATAATACCCTGCAGGCGAATACCATTTCAATTGAGGGACACATTACAGTGTACGCTCCAAACAATGCTAAATGACAAAATCATAGAAACAGTTACTGAGCCGTCTGAATTTGTAAATCCCATAGTAATAGTCAAAAAACCAGATAACACTATAAGAATTTGTTTAGATCCCCAAAACTTAAATAAATCTTTGCTGCGTGAACACTTTGCGTTACCAACTGTAGATGAATTAACTAGTACCATGGCAAACTCAAAAATTTTTAGCACTTTAGATGCAAATAAAGGTTTTTGGCAGATAAAATTAACAGAAAGGGCCTCAAAATTAACGACGTTTGCAACACCGTTTGGGCGTTTTAAATTTTTAAGGTTACCATTTGGCGTATCGTGTGCTCCAGAAATTTTTCATAGAACGTTCACTGAAATTTTTGGGAACATAAATGGTGTAAAAATTTATATAGACGACATAATTATTCACGCAAAATCGATAGAAGAGCATGATCAAATTTTAAAATTAGTTTTTGAAAGAGCCAGAGCGTTAGGGGTGAAATTTAATAAAAACAAATGTAAGTTTAGAATTAAAGAAGTAAAATTCTTAGGTCATGTATTAACAGAAAATGGTGTGCAAATTGATAAGGGGAAAGTGGAAGCAATTAAACAAATTCCTAAACCGAACAATGCTAAAGACCTTAGTAGGTTTTTAGGCATGATCACATATGTGAGTAGATTTATTCCAAATTTATCATCACGTACTTCACAATTACGTCAATTGTTAAGGAAAGGGGTAGTTTGGGATTGGCAACCGGAGCATGATTTAGAATTTATAAATTTAAAAAATTCGTTAATGGAAAACCCGGTACTAAAATTTTTTGATTACAAAAAACCCGTAGTTTTGTCTGTAGACAGTAGTAAAGATGGATTAGGCGCAGTTATCCTGCAAGATCAAACGCCAGTAGCTTATGCTTCCAAGTCTTTAACTGAAACGCAACAATCGTACGCTCAAATTGAAAAGGAGGCATTGGCGATTGTGTACGGCTGTCAAAGATTTCACCAATATTTATACGGTAGAAAATTTATAGTCGAAAGTGATCATAAGCCTTTAGAAATGATTTTCAGTAAACCATTGGATAAGTGTCCATTAAGATTACAAAGATTGCGATTAACTTTACAAAGCTATGACTTCGAAGTTAAGTATAAACGAGGTTCACAATTGTATATAGCAGGCGCTTTATCACGTGCTAGTCACAAAGAGGATAATTTTAAAATTTTAGAATCGGAAGTCGAAGCTCATGTACATTTAATTGAATTTGCAGGAATGTCACCAGAAAAGTTTAATCAACTAGTAAATGAAACCATGAAAGACCCTGAACTAATCACTTTAAAAACTGTAATAAATGAGGGTTGGCCTAAAAGCAAGGATGAAGTGAAAGATTTGATTAAACCTTACTGGGATGTTAGGGAAAGTTTGGTTGTAATAAATAATGCTGTTTTTAAGGGAAATCAATATGTAGTACCAAAATCAATGAGGGCAGAAATCATAGCAAAATTACATTATTCTCATTTAGGGATTGAAAAAACTAGATTACGGGCGAGGGAATTAGTATACTGGCCAAATGTCAATAAGGAAATTAAAGATGTTATTCAAAATTGTCATGCATGTTTAGCGTATGGTAGATCTAATCCACAAGAAGAAATGATCACAAAAGAAATGGCTGTAAGACCATGGCAGATTGTAGCAGCTGATTTTTTTTATTTAAATGATAATCAGTACTTATTATTAGTAGATGAATATTCGAAATACCCTGAAGTAGTTCACATGCGTAATGATACCAGTAGCGTTAAAGTAGTGAAAGAATTCAAGGCAATTTTTTCGAGACATGGGATACCAAATCTTTTGTATACAGACGGAGGTCCACAATTCGTTAGTAATAACTTTCAACAATTTGTAAGAGAGTGGGGTATTATACATAAAACTAGCTCCCCAAGGTATCCTAAATCAAATGGATTCATAGAAAGACACGTGCAAACTATTAAGCAAATTCTTAAAAAGTGTTACTTAGATAAGAAAGACGCATATTTAGCACTGTTGGAATACAGAAATACTCCCATCAGCAATGAAATTCCTTCACCTGCAGAGTTGTTGTTGGGTAGAAAAATTAAGGGTTGTTTACCAGTTCCGGATTTTCAATTACATCCTCAATTTCAACCAAATCAAATACTTCAAACAAAAACGCTAAACAAACAGAATTATAAATATTATTATGATAGAAAATCACATCAATTGCCAAATCTAAAAATAGGACAAACAGTAATGGTTCAAAATTTTCTGAAAAAAAAATGGGAACCTGGAATTATAAAAAATTTTGATAAAAGACCTCGTAGTTACGTTGTAGAAATGTTTAAGCAAGGCAACCAGTTAATTAGAAACAGAAAATTTTTGAAACCCATTACTAATGAAAATTTATTTAATAATGACTATAAATTTCAAAATTTGTTCGAAAAAAATATTCAGGAGCAACTACCGAAGGAAAAAGTTAACGAAAATGTCAGAACATTCTCAAATCGTAATTTGCAGCATACAGATCCAAGTAGAGAGGCAGTGAGATATGACGGAAACAATACCTATGTAACGAAGTATGGTAGAAGTGTAAAGAAACCTAATTATTATAAACCTTAATTTAAGACAATATCTATGTACTAATGATGTGATAATTTTGTTTGAATTTTTTTCGAATTACTAGTCAAGTAAGGCATGGAATGTTATTGTTTAATTTGTTATGAGCTATATTGTCAGTATTTTTAGTTGGGGGTGGATAGTAATTAGATTAATGTGTGTTATAAATTGTTAAACGGGGAGATGTCATAATATTATGTTATTGGAATACCACTAGATGGCGTTAATGTAAATACGTTGGAATAAAGATCATTGTTGAGTTGATAGTCATGGTGACATGAACCACTAGTCAATCATGCTAATGAGGCAAACAACGGCAGACCTAATCTCAACGCTGGGCGGAAACGAGATGAAATAGCACTTACTTTATAACTAAACATTTATTTATGCCTTGATTTTGTGTAGATAAGAGAAAGTATTATGTATTCTGAAAAATAATAAGTATTATAAAATGAATAATGAACTAATCTGAGTCTGAACTGTGTACATGTTTTTTTTTCTTATTTTTTTGTGAGTTGATTAAAGCCAATATTTGCTCATGTCTCATTTCATTTTGCCTCTGAATCAGAGATATCATTTGTGTAAACTCCTCTTTTCTCTGTTCTAAATTTTCTTTGTGAATTTGTTTCAGTACTTCCACTACTGCAGAACCCTTATTCTGCCGGACACTACTTTTAATTTGTGTGGATTGGTTTGGAGTTGATGGTGTTGAATATCTTGTACATGTTTCAGCGGGAGAACTTCTCCCTGCTTCGGCTGGAGAACTCCCTACTTCGGCTGGAGAACTTCTCCCTACTTTGGCACAAGAACTTGTGCTTGCTTCAGCCGAAGAACTACTTGCTTCTGCTGTTGACGCAATCGAATCAATTATCATTACTGGGTTTGTTTTATGTTTATCCCCAAATATCTCAAACAGTTCATCATAATAAAGGGGATTTTTAATTTTCCCTTCACCCGTTCGCTTTCTTCTATCATTCGTTTTGACAAATGAAGCTTGTAAATTTGCAATTTTTTGTCTGCACTTTTCTGCACCTATTTCCCCATCTCCTACGTAAAACCCCATTTCAATCATGGTTTTTGCAATTTTGCCCCAAAGGATTTTTTTACTTTTTCTTTTGTCGGCAAATTCTGCATCGACTTCTTTACGCAGAGATAATAATGTCAATGTAGCCTCGTTATCAATCGTATTTTGGTTCTTTGAAGATTTCCACAACACACTTTTGTTTAAGTTGTCCGCTGTCGGCGGCGGAGATGAAGATGACAGTTGCTGTCTTACAGTTTCTAAGTATCGTTTTGCGTAATTTTCTAAACAAAATAAAAGGTTAAACACATACATTATACTAATTTACTTACCATTTTGTAACTCAATCGCAGTTTCTCGATCCACACACACAATCACATCGTCTAACTGTACTTGTACCAAAGTTTCATTAGTATCATCTACAGTACTCATTGTTTTCCTCTAACACAACCTTCACAAACCTCTTTCAGTAGTGAACATAACCTTTAAAAACACAACTTTCCGGTTTAAAACACCTCCACGGATAGTTTTAAACCAGAGCAAACTTTTTTAAACCAATTGCAATAATGACGTCATTGTTTCAACGCTAAAATGGATTGGTTTAAACCACCTATAATTTTTTCAAACCAATCGCTCGCTAAAAAACAGCTAAAATAAACAGTTTCATAACCTAACAAATTTTCACCAACTACAGCCGCACTGCTTGAACACAGCTTTAAGGCTGGGTCCCCATGTAGAGGAAAAGCGGAATCACGTATTCCGCCACTTTTTAGCAGAACGTCCTAATGGGAGAGCTTTTTAAGCGGAACATTTACTATTACATAACCTATAACTTAACCCTTTAAGGACTGACGAATTTCTTACGTGCTCAACCCCCAGACGGCGAAATATAGCGTGGCGTGTGGCCAGCTGACGGGTATATCCGACACTTATCTTTTTCATTCAGGATCAATTATTCTGCGTAAAAATTACAATAAATAAGCAATATAACACCACAATAATCATTTAGATTAATTTTTATTGCACAACCAATTCAAAACTTTGACATTGTATGATATGTAGCGAAACATGGCACCACACACAAACCAACATCGCAATCTTTGCACATGTATCTGGACTCCTTCCTTTTTTTCGGTGCAAGTTTCGTCTGCGAACATACTATACATCTCCTCAAGGGGTTTTTGCTTTTTGGTGTGTCTGGCACCAAAACTGGAAAATGCCTCCCTGTAAGCCTCGCCACATCCAATCCACGAACATGCTGTGGAGCGACAATGGGGGTCGCAGAATATCTGTAGCAAAAGTAAAACATAATCAATATTACTTGCTATTATAAAACAAGAAACTTACTTCTCGAGAATCTGTCGAATAAGGTTCAGTTGGAATTTAGCCAGAGGAACCTTTTCTGGATTTATAAGTGAATACATCGCATGGGAATTCAGCATACAAATGTCCATGACATGATAAAATAGCTTTTTGTACCACTTATTGCTTTTACGCATGCATTCTATGCTACTTATCATCATGTCAGACCGGTCAACAGCTCCCATTTTCCCATTATAGTCCACCACACATAATGGCTTCTTGACTGGTTCTCCAGTGACCTTGTCCACTTTGTCAAGATTGACCATTTTATTTTCGTGCATAGTGGTTATCATGGAGACATCTCTTCGATCTTTCCACTTCATCACCAGAATTTTGTCACTGCATCTCCAATCAATATCTCCTTTCTTCAGTTTTGAGTTGAGGACAGGCATGTGTTTCCTGTTTGCTCGAACAGTGCCACTTGAGTTAGTTTCATTTTCATGAAGATAAGTAGAGAGTATCGGACTACTATAATAATTGTCTGTGAAGAGCGAATGTCCTTTGTGTAAGTACGGATCCATCAAAGCGGCGACCACTGACCCAGAAGAACCAAGTCCCTTCACGTCTCTTACCTGAATGTTGGTTTGCTGTCCAATATAAACCACGAAGTCCTGAACTATCCCCGTTTCACAATCACACAGAACATAAAGTTTGATGCCAAAGCGATGTCGTTTGGTCTTTATATATTGTTTGAAACTAAGTCGTCCTTTGAATAGAACCATACTCTCGTCAATGACAAGGTCTTGGAACGGATGGAAGAGATCTGCAAGTCTCTTTTTGATCATTTGTAGCAGCGTCTCTATTTTGTATAGACGGTTGTTAGTTGGCGCATTTTCATTGTCTGCGAAATGCAGACATCTCTTGATTTGTAAATACCTATCCCTGGGCATTTGCTTACCAAATATTGGAGAATTTAGCAACGGATCTTTTGACCAATATTCCTTCATATCAAGTTTTTTATTCCGTGACATTAGCATTGTCAAAGCCAAAAAAATAGACAGCTCAGGCAAGTCTATATCCTTCCATTTTTTCTCATCTTGCTGTCGTGCATACCGGTTGGTTTCAGTAATTATCAGATCAGTTACATCCTCGGTAATAAGATTGAAAAAATAATCAATCTCTTTAGAAGCTTGATTGAGGACGTCTCCCTGTATTCCGCTGTAACTGCTGTTGAATGTATGTAATATAGGTTGGAAATTATTTTTTGTCCATGTAATGTTGATGTCACTGTGATCCGTTTCATTACCACCTGGATTACCTTCTTGGGAATCATCGTCATCTCTAATATCATTAGGTATTTCATTGGCTTCATCCACGATGTCTTCATCTATGATATTTTCCTCGTCAGCTGATTCTTCCGATTCACTTTCCAATTCATATTCACTACCACTGTCCGCAAACGGTTCTTCGAGTTCATTGTCACTGTTTTCATCAATCAGAAGCTGCAGAAGGTGAGCAGCTTCTTTAGGATCTAATCCACAATAATTATTCAACTGTACTTTGCTTCTTTTAGGCCTGGAAGGGCCGGCAATTCCGTCTTCTGCCATCATAACATAACCTATACGCCAGTACTACCCATGATATAGCTAGCAGACGAGTGTCGGATATATCCGACACGACGGGTTCAACCGACACTCGGCGGTACAACATCCATTTTTTGTGTCGGAATAACGCGTCAGTCGTCTGTGGAGCCCAACACTTTTTCTACAGTGTCGGATATAGACGGCACCAGTGCAGAGGCAATGTAGAACCTGGTGTCGGCTATATCCGACTACAGTCTGTCAGACAAATTTACTATTGCCGTATAAAGCCGTCGGCCGTCCTTAAAAGGTTAAGATATTTTTACGTTTTTAAGATTCCATAAACCTTAAAAATATGTCATACGTAAGTAATTTTGATAGCAATTCACTTTTAACGCTCATAGCAGCACTCGTAGTAAAACAAAAAAAAAGTTCAGTGAGGTACAGAAATGACACAGGTCGCAGAAAGTTATTGCATCTATACAGACTATATATTCAAATGCTCGAAAATGAAAAAGTGGTAAGAAGATTTTGGGTAAGGGACATCTTTGCGAGCCAACAACGACATTTGCAAGGAGCCAGCAATAATTTAGCCAAGGAATTGTACAGCCATGATTGTGAAGTTTTTCAATTTTTTTCGCATGTCGCAAGAAACTTTTGATGAACTGTTATGTTTAGTAGGGCCTAAAATACAAAAACAAGGCTATATTAGGGAATCTATAGATCCAACTACTCGATTACAGATTACGTTGCGATATTTATCTTCAGGAGACAGCATGGTCTCGTTACATTATATGTTTCGAGTAGGCAAAAATACAGTATCTCAGATTATAGCAGAGACGTGCCAGATTATATGGGATACCTACGTTGAAAGAAATTGTGTTTATAAAACCTACTGAAGAAAATTGGAGAAGAATTGCGAAAGAGTATGAAGAGAAATGGAATTTCAAAAACTGCATAGGGGCAATTGATGGCAAACACATAGGGCGTGTTTGTTAACTACTCCGTTCGCTCGAGCAAAATTTGCTCGAACAATTAATCATCAACCCAACCAGTAAGACAATTTAAAAACGATCATTCGAGTACTGTTTATAAAATTGTTGTTACCTAACCTAAAAAATAAAAATTTCGATAATGACAGACAATATGCAAATTGTGTCATTATTTGTAGCGCAAGGAGCAAAACTTTATAATTCAAAAAAGCAAGAAAGGATAATAAGCGTAATATTACAATATCTTGTGTTAACCCAGAAAAAAAAACTATACAAACGCGAAAGAGTTGTGGGGTATGTTGATTTAGTACAACGATATCTAGAGGATGATTTTAAGTCCCATTTTCGAATGTCCCGTACTACACTAGACTTATTACTGCACGCAATTGGCCAAGATTTGTTTAACTCCAAGAGCAGTACAGGAAGACCTCAAGAAAGTGTTACTGTACAATGTTTAGTTTGTATTTGGGTCTTAAGTAATCAAGAATCATACAGGTTGGTTACATTAGGTAAATAGTGATAAGCAATGTACCTATGGCTTTTTTTTAGATCAATTGCAGACAGATTCAACATTTCCAAAAGTAGTGTGTTTATGTATACACACAGAGTATGTGGCGCTTTAAATAGATTAGCTCGTACATTAGTTAAGTGGCCTGAAGGAAAAGAAGCACTTAATGTAATGGAAGGTTTTAAGGTAGGTAGGTAATGACGACGTTTAATTCAGTTTATTAATTTTCATACAATTAGAAAAAGAAATCGTTTCCGGGTGTACTTGGTGCCATAGATGGCTGCCACATTGATATAAAAGCCCCGAAGGAAAGTAGTGTTATGTACGTCAATCGAAAAGGAAGACCCTCCATAATACTACAAGCAGTCTGTGATCATAACTGTAGTTTTACGGATTGCTTCATAGGGTTCCCGGGTTCAGTTCATGACGCCAGGGTTTTCTCTAAGTCTGGCATGCAAGAACGTTGTAATAACGATCAGTTCTTTCCTAATGATTCACACATTCTTGGCGATTCAGCTTATCCTTTATCACAGCATGTTTTAGTACCATATAAGGACAACGGACATTTAACACGAAAACAAACCAAGTTTAATGTTATACATGCTTCCACAAGAGTTACCATTGAAAGGGCATTCGGATTACTCAAAGGACGGTGGCGAAGGTTGAACTACCTAGAACTGCATTGTTCAGCACATATTCCTAGCACAATTATGGCTGCGTGTGTTTTGCATAATTTTTGTATAAAAAATAAGGATGAGATATCTTTTGATGTACACCCAGGTGGTAATAATGCTCAAGATATCACTTCAGATGCGACAACAACAAAAGGAGGTGTGGTTAAACGTTGTCAAATTGCAGAAACTCTGTGGCATATTTAAATGTATAGATTTATTAAGTAGAACCGTAGCTATAAGAACATAAAACTTATCCAAAGTATTGTATTTTTTCACAAAAAATAAATTTTTACTCTAAAAACACAAAAAAGATTAAATGTGAAAACTATTTTCTCAGGTTTGTTACAAGCTGCTCAAGAAGATCATTAAATCTTCCCTTCTCTACTATTTCCTCCTCGTGTTGTTTTTGACTGTTCTCAATTGCCTTTAAAAGCAAATCTTTCACATCAGTGTGTTTTGTCTTTTTCACGGGTGGTCTTTCTGGAGTACTTGCACCACTATCGCTTTCAACACTTTCATTACCATCCTCGGAAGGTTTATTATCGGAGGTAGGTGAAATTGCACGTTTGTTTATATTCCCATTATGTATGGTTATTGGTGGCTCAATGGACGGGTCTTTTTTTAATAAATGATCCATTGCTTCAAAGTACGTCCAATTACTTCGGTCTCGACCACTTCGATTATTATTGTCCTTCACACTTTTATAGGTTCGGACCAAACTTTTCCATTTATTCTGAAGTTGGTCCCAGGAAAAATTATGTCCAAATGCATTCATTGCCATAGCAATTCTAAAAACATGTACGTATGAGTTTAATAATACATTAAAGTTTACTTATTACTTTTGCCATATATGTTTTTTCATGGAGTTTTTCTTGCCCAGCACCTCTTTATATTCTTCATACTGCTGTATGAGTAGTAGTACAGCGGCCTGCGTCCATGCACCACTTTGGGGCTCATCTGGTATACCACTTTGGGAGTCGCTGAGGATATCTTGTGTCACATCTTCAGTGTTTTGTGAATCATGTGCTAAGTGTAATGATTAAAGTATAGATACATCATCATATTAAAATATACTTTACCTCCTTCAAGGTACAGGACATTCGAGTCATCTATTGATACATTTACACTATTTTGAAAGCATTGATGATTTAACATTTTAAACCAGCTAGCTTCTTCTAAGTTGTCTGTTGTTAATTTACAATGGAAGCATGTGTAACCACCGCTCATCTTCACTTTTTCACCAAAATAACTTTTAATACTTTGTATTTTACGAGGGGTTGATCACTCCAAAAACATAGGTTCCACCTGTGCAATATTGCACACATTGCACGATTATTGCACACATTGCACCACTATTGCGCGTATTACACAATTATAATTGACTGCTTAAGCGTAACTATGTATTGTGGTGCTATTACAATATTGCAGACATTTCACGTAATCCGGGTACCTACATTACGTGTTTTATCTTCCTTTAAGTTGCATGTCTTAGGACCATTTTCATAATTACGCTAAAGTCTCCTTTAGCTAAAGTCGACTTTAAGGCAAATTAATGTTCTTTCTGAAGATAAACATATTCATAACTATATTCAACTACTCCCTAACTAATGTCCCTGTGGACCTTAAAAATTAAAATATGGTTAAAGTTCTCGTTAAAAGCTATCAAGCAATGTTTTAAAGCACCATGGCATGGCCGCAAAAACGAAATTTAAACAAGAAAACCACCTTTTCGTAATATTTACGAATATACATATATACATTTATTTTGTCGATTTTAGCAAACACTATATTTTGACAAATCCTCAGAAAACGTGTGCCGCATTCGAGTGTCAATACACGGTTCACTTAATTTTAAAACAATGTCTTGGTTTGAAACATCCGCCACATCGTCAGTTGCAGGGAACGTAAAAAAATTTCCGTGTCTTCTAAAAAATTTCACTTCATATACTTCCTCATTACGATTATCGGAATCATTTAGTCGTTTACTTAACACTAAGCCAATGTAATGTTTGTGGCTTTTCTTTGTTGCAAACTGAACTAAAACATAGTTTCCAATTGAAAGTGTAGGCTCGATTGTATCCGTCTCAGGCGATGTTATAAAAATCAAATTTTTCTAGACCTAATGCTTATATAAAATTTTGGAGGGAGTTGTAATGCCCCCCCCCCCTCTCATGAGTGCGTCCCTGATTTTTTTAAACATCTGATGTAATTATTTTCATTGTTTTGTTGCCTCGAATAGATTTTGTTTTGTTTTTTTTAATTCATCACAGCCTACTTAATTAAAATATAAAAATCGTTGATATAACTGGTATCTTATTTTCAATCTTATGTTATGATGGCTCGTTGAAAAGAGAATTAAAAAATCTATCAAGTAATCTAAAAATCCCATATGGCGCCTATTTAACTTTAGGAAGTTGTTAAATGTTCCTCAAAAGTAGCCATCTTGAATTTTTTTTTACCTCAATTCTAAATTAAACGTATCAAAGACAGTAACTTTTATATAAAACTTTTTTTATATCTCTTATACTTTCGATGATATAAGACATTCAAGGAAATGACCAATTTTAGTTTTTTTGAATTTACGTCGAACCTATGCGACATTTTGAATTTCCAAAAGGAAATTTTAAATAAGCATCTAAAACTGCAAAACATCGCCCATTTAACCAATTCTCTATCCTTGTTAATAACAAAGTTACCCATGCAATCCCACCCGATCTGGGACACACTGTATACCGCGATCTATAACACTTCTCACTCAACACCGCACAGCGCAGTTATAAATATTACTCACTCGAAAGACAAAAACCATCGTTGCATTTGTTTCATACTCCGTTTTATACCGGTTAGGTTCCTAATTGTGGGCGCCGAGGCGGCTGCATATTGCGCCTACTCCGAGCAGTAAAGCTCATATTGTATTTTACGAGGTATTATTATACGTATTGCACAAATATTGCACGCATTGCACAAATATTGCACACATTGCACAAGTATTGCACAAGTATTGCACGCATTGCATAAACATTGCACACATTGCACAAATATTGCACGCATTGCACACATTGCACAAACATTGCATTACTACCCGCCCACCTATTGCACACAGTGATTAACCCCTCGGTATTTTAGGTTATGGGAGAGCTAAAATTGTAGGTTAGAATTCTATTCCCATTTCGCGCACTACCTAATGATCTGGGGCATGGAAAGTTTGATCGAGTCGCATGTTCAAACAACTTGTGCAGTTTTCAAACGCAGATTGGAACAGTTTAAAAACGCAATTTTAATGGTTCGCGCATTCGAGCTAGCGTTCGAGTAATTAACAAACACGCCCATTATAATTACGATGAATCTCCAATTATAAAACATGGTGTCAGGTGTTGTTGGTTCCAGTTAGTTGTTAAAATTGGTTCCAGATATAGATGTTATCTGTTGAAGTTGTTTATCGTACACTTTGAAGATATAACCTCAAAATGGAAGAGTTTTTCAAGGCGCAATCAAAATGTATGGAGTTGTTACAAAAACAATTCGCCGTTACTACCCGCACGCTAGCGTGTGGCTTTTGTTTCATGATCGCCGCACGGAAACGTCATAGTTGAAGTTATGACGTCACAATTAGCTTGTGGATCAGCTGATGGGTAACAACAACATTTCTTACATTACATTTGTTTATTTTTGTTTAGTGACAGAGCCATGGCTTTAGTGACGTTGTCGAATATCTTAGACCTTTGCGGATGAAATTAGTGTAGTAAAGAAAGGGGAGAATTGTTTAGAGAATGGGTATATAATTGAAGTTGAGTTTACAGGAGTCAGGACTTAAATGTAATTTGTGGGAAAGTTTGACCAAGTTTATTAATATAATGGAGCTAGGAAATTCTTTTTAGATAAATTGAGATCGTAATGGAAGCATACAGATGGAACTATAGTCATTGTGCATGAGTACAATTTAATTGCCATCACGTTGCTGCAATTTTATTGTACTTCAACAAAAACTTTATTAAAATCGACAAAATATACGAATGAAAAGGCCTCCAACTAGTAGTGGACCAGAAAAGATTGCATCTGTCTGGAAAAGATTTGTTCCCGAAACGTCAACATCGTTCTACAAATCGAAATGTGGATGCAGCGGATAAGGAATTCTTTTATACTCAACTTAAATCATTAAACAGGTGAGGATTTTGTAATCTTGAAGGTAAAAGTTTTTAAACATGTTTTTAGGTTTTCCGGCTTTTGTTGGCTATTGTCTCTGGAGCAGGTAACTCTGCATACAGAAGTAAAGTAAAGATTTTGGAACTTTCCAAGACAGTTACCTACTGGAGAAATCGATGAAAACAAATTATTACTTAAATTAATAGAATAAGTAGTTGTAGTGTTTATTTATACACATGATAATAGTTATTAAATAAATTCATAAGGTTTTATGACATTAATAATTCTTTAAGCATTCTTTGAGAGTTATATTTTCTTCTTTTAGAAAATGTATTTCTGCCGAGTCTAAAGCTGGGTACACGAACAACGTTGACGGGCCAGCTTCTGATACTTCATCAATGTTCAGTTCTGCTTCTAATGCAGAATGTGGAACTTACTCATCTTTAGAATGACACCTTCTGAAATAAATTTAATTTGCAGTTTGGATGTCTGTTCTAATAGTGAAGCATACCTTGCACGTTTTTTGGGCATTGGAACTTCCACGTTCCCTCCTTATTCCATGGAAAAATCGTTGGACCCACGGATTTATTACCACCTTTGAAATGACAGCTACAAAGACAATGTTCACGAGTTGGATCTCGATCAACCCTTCTGTTAAAATTTACACAAATTGTAAGTTAAAGTTTTAGCTGAAGCAGCTCAAGCCAAGTATATCTTTAAAATTACCTATAGTATTATTTATACATTTATGAGGAATTTACCCAAGGGAATAAGGATTTCCATATGAAAAGATAGGTTTACATTTGTAATTATGTAATATACACTTAAAACAAATATAATACAAAAATAAACACTTGCGGCTTTATGACATACCTATCATTTAAATTAATGAAATGCTACAATAAAATTTAAAAAATAATACTACTACTTTTTAGCATATTAAATATCAGTAACATTCCCGACAGAACCATGTTCTTCTGATTGGGGTCTTTGCTAATCCTACACATCGAAAATGGTACCACATCAAGCAGCTATCGCAACATATGCTTTTTAGTTGGGCAATTGCATTGTTGCAAGTGGCACAACACCATTCATGATTTTCCTTGTTGTGTTCAATAAAGTCTATTAAATTTTCAAAAGCCCCTAGTTCAAACAAATCCTTAACTAAATCCAAATTAAATGATGGATCGAAAATGACATGTCTCAAACATTTAAAATCTTTCAAGTCGATGTTTTTAATTTTATATTCTCCTTCTAAGCATTGTTTTATGGCATCGTCATTTGAAACTATTTCTCTGAGAATTTGAGTTTTTTGCATGGTTTCTGATTTCAACGTAAATTTTGTTGGAATCTTAATGGTCCTTCTTTTTTTCAAGCCAATAACAGTTTGTTCTGACCCTTTAGTCCTACCTCGTTTTTTAATCTTACTGGGCATAATGATAGTAGACAAATCATCAACTAAAATAATAGAAAGTAATGTAAGTGATTAATAATTTGTAAGTGAACCAACCTTGAGTTTCCGTAAAAACAGCTTCACTGTAATCAGTTCCGGCACTGGCACTGGCAACAGTATGTTCATTCTCTAATGTAGGAATTTCATTTAAATCATTAACATTAACTACAACAATAAAATAAGGGATTAATTTTAAAATCTTAAGCTAGCATTACACTTGTCAATTAATTCACGAAGTTTTCTTTGTCAATTTCTTCGCGCCGGGGTTTGGTTTTACACCTGTGAAGAATTTCGTGAAGTTGTTGGACATGACTGTCACTGGATCAGGCGTGCCATCCAGCTTTTTATTAAACGTTTCCCCAAAATAAACTTGCAAGCAGTAGACGTTGCTCTCCCTCCTTAGACCATATAGTACATGAACTGCTAATTGTAACTAAAATATGGTCAAGGACATCGCCTGGGTATATGAGTTTCAGGGTAAACGAGTCTGTCCGAAGTTGTCCGCTTAGACACGATTTGAGACTGTCAACCTATAAATTTACAAACGTCAATTAATTAATCGCCTAGATATGCCAAAAAAAATCAAACCTATTGCTATTTGTGGACGTATAGAAGATAATCAAGAGGATTTAAAGCTCCCGTACTACGCGATTACTATAAAAGCTACTCTTTACGCGATCTGAATGGTGTTCACACGACTTTAGTTTACCCTGAGATTCACATACCCACGACTACAGTGCCCTCTATCCGTGACCAGCCATTTTGTATTGAAAGCATAGGGCTAATAGCAGTCCATGTACTATATGGTCTAAGTCTCCCTCTCATTACCAAAATTTTAAGTTGGTTGGTAGCACTGAACTTCACAGTTAAAATTGACAAAAAATAGAACACGTTCTCATTTTGTGAAGAAATTCACGAAGTTCTTCGTGAAGTTTTTTGCGTGCAAGTCGGTGTATTACATTTGGTAATTTCTTCGTGAAGTGACTTCGTGAATTAATCCATGAATAAATTGACAAGTGTAGTAGTAGCTTGAGATAGAGTAATAATAAGACATTTCGTATTCTCACATGAGTCACAGGCAGAAATGTCAGTACTTTGATCCATCTCACAGATTCTTACTCTTTCTTCATATACATACGAATCTAGAAATGTTGATATTGAATTAAAGTAATTACCTAATTATTAAATTGTGCATACTTTGAGTAACTGTGGCATTATTAGAAGCACCACAATTTTCTGCACCTTGCGTGATCATGGAAATATTCAAATTTCTCCCAATAGTAGAAGTTTCTGGGATTTCATTCATCACAATTTCGTCAAGTAATAATTCCGAGTGCTCACTTTCATCTTCATTGATGCTTACTTTATTAATCGTTACCTAAAATAAGTCAATGTAGATCACAAAAGAATGCATGCCTATAAAAAAAGACAATATACCTCATAGCCTTGCCTCCACAAAAGTTCAATTTTTTTTAAACAGTCAAGTTTATATTCAAACTGTGAATTTGAAGAAAGACAAGCTATACTAACAATAGCATTGGCAATCAAATTTGCTCTTTTTCGTTTCTCGGTTGGGTTCAGAATTTTCGCAGTTTTCACATTTGTAACTGAATATGAAGGCACATTCTCTATATGCGAGTCATTTAACACTCTATGACTTTTTAGATAAAACTGTTTTCTCCATCTTTCCGCACAAGCTTCTTCACAAAATAAATCCATTTTCAGATAGTTTCTTAAAGATAATATATGTCTACATGGTAAAAACATTGATAAGAAGTCGGAGCATTCACAGGTAGCAGTATGTACTGATATCATAATGTCTTTAACTTTAACCTTGTATTGTTCATCATCTTCAGTTATAGCTACTTTCTTACTGAGATTAATTTGCTTTAGAACATATCCATATGCATAAGGTGTTAGAAAATCCAAATATTTTTTTTCACAGCTGTCTTCATCAAATTGTGTAATAATTTTTGCAACTTTACTATTTCGCTCTTCACAATGAGATCTTAACCAATTTAAAAAATGTTTAAGAAATAAACATAAAGAGCTATTTCGTGGCACAACGTCTTTAATTTTTTGATTTAATGACTCCAATCTATTGTTGGTACGATTTCTTAAATTACCATGTACCATGCTGTAACAAGTCCATTCGCATCTAATGTTGTGCCAGTTCTTGTTAAAATACTCAACTACACTTGGCGGGCAAGTGTCACAGAACACAATGTATAGTTCATCGTATTCATTTTCTGAATGACTATAAACTAACTTATTTAAAAGTTCTAAACATGTGTCACGTTCTGATGATGAAATGTCATATTTCGAAGTTGTCACAGTTCTTTTAAAAGTTTTTAGAACGTGAAACAAACATATATACACTGGAACACCACAAAATATTTCTTTTAAGACATCCCTCTGTAACAAATCTTTGTCTGTCATAAAGCATTTTATTTTACTCGACGCGATTTCATTGTGTTTTTTAAATTGAGTTAAAAACCATTTGAAACTGTCATAATCTTCATTAACTATCAAACACACACCAACAACTTCTGATAACCCATTTGAATCCTCAACAATCATTAACATAAGGGTAAGTCCATTATTTAATAATAATAATAATAAATGCCTTTATTGAGTCAATTGAGTAAATATAATAAATGGAAAAGTTTCAGAGGCGAAGTTCAGCTCACAGAATGCGCTGCTCTTCCACTTAACCTCTGTTGAGAGACAAATCCGGCGTAATTACATGATCATAATGTTCTTAAAATTAGGCATACCGATAGGTAGTGAACTGCTACTGCTGTAAATTGTTATTCATGAATCATGAGGTTATTGTCTTTCTAAATACCTGGAGATTATAGCTTTACGGAATTTCTGAGTAGTGAATGATTTTAGATTCGTTGGTAGATGATTCCACAGGGTCGCTATGTTATAGGAGAAGGATCGCTTGTACATCGTAGTGCGGTGTGCTGGCACGGAAATTGTGCCCCTGTGCCGTAGGTTTAAGTGATGCACATCCGACCTGAAGCTTATTTTTTCCCATAGATATGAAGGGGTCTTGGTGGTTAAAACCTTATAGTAACAAATCAGAGCGTGAACTTCTCTCCTATTTCTCATATTAAGCCATTTTGCTTCGCCTAGCTTCTCCGAGATGTGATGTATTGAACGTGGTACACAGTATATAAATCTCAAACAGGCGTTCTGCAGCCTTTGCACCCTTTTTACCTCCACACTGTCAAGACATGGACCGTAGACTACATCGCAATAATTCAGATGTGAGAGCACTAAGCTATCACATAGCATCCTTTTGACTTTCGTGTCTAATACATCTCTATTTTGGTAGAGTAGTTTTAATTTACCGAAACCTAATCTGATGCATTTACTTATATGAGATTTAAATCGTAACTTGTAGTCTAGTGTCAGCCCCAAGTTTTTTTCCTCGGTACTGCAGCTAATTTTTGTGTTTCCTAAAGAGATATTGACATTACTAATTAAGCTGTCGTAAACGTGACCACTGCTGAAAAGAATTGCTTTTGATTTTTCCGGATTTAGCTTCAGTGAGTGGGCTGTAGAGAGTTTTAGTAGTAAGTCCAAATCCCGGTTGATTTCATTGCACGCTCCCACTACGTCTGTAGGACTAAAGGGTAAGTATAATTGCGTATCATCCGCGTATAAATGTGAATTTACATATTTTAATCTGTTTTGGAAATTGGAGACATAAATTGAGAAAAGAGTCGGGCTTAGAATGGATCCTTGCGGAACTCCCGATTTAATTTTCTGATAGCGTGATTTTTTATTGTTGTAAACAACTCGTTGCTGCCTATTCTGCAGAAAGTTTTTAAAAAAAGTGGTGGCCTTACTTGAATCCCATAACTGTGTATAATTTTTAATAAGGTTTTATGGTGTATTGTATCGAAGGCTTTCGAGTAGTCTAGTAGTATCAATAAAACAGCCTGTCTATTATCAATTGCTGAGATGATATCATCTGTTATTTTAAGGAGACCAGTTGCGTAACTGTACCCGGCACGGAAACCTGATTGATTACAGGGTATTAAGCGGTTCAAATTCAAAAAGTTGGTGAGCTGAGTATTGATAGCTTTCTCTAGGACTTTTGAGAGGACCGGAAGAATTGATATAGGACGGAGATCTCTAAGTTCAAGCGGCGTGGGTATTTTATTCAGGGGAATCACGTGCGCAATCTTCCAGCACCTTGGGAATACCGAGTTTAATATACAATAATTTATTAAGTGGGTTATTATCCTCAGAAGATGAGGGAGACATAAATTAAGCATGTATAGGGTGATCCCATCTGATCCGGCTGCATTAGACTTGATGGTTTTCAGCAGTTTAAGTATGTCTGATTCCTCAACAGTCTCAAATTCTAATTGTTGCATTGGCTGCGTGCGCCTTTGGCATAGTTGTGCAATTTCCGTGTCGTTGATGTTCGCGTATGGACCGGACTGAGTAAAATGATCATTAATTTTATTTACATCGGTTAGGTATTCTGGCAATTTTGAGGGGGACTTGTCCATATATAGAACATTGCTTTTCCAGGGCTTTCCACAGAACAGTCGGATTATTACTTGTTGCTAACTGATTGATATAGCTCTTTTTCTGCTTTTTACACGCCTGCGTTACTTGATTCCTCAACCGTTGTACTGCTGCCTGTTTAAATCGGTTTTGTTATTTTTAAAAATTGCAAGCGCTTTGTCTCTCATACTCATGAGAAATTTAATGTTATCGTTCAGCCACGGCGCAGGACGTTTACTTACGCGGGAAGTTGTAACTGGAGCGTGCTTGTTGAATAACGTGATTAGGTTTGTGTTAAAAAACGATAGCTTAGCGTCAATATCTTGAAGATCAAGAATGTCGATCCATGGTATAGACTGCAGATCGTGTTTAAAATTACTGTAGTTAAAATTTCGAAAACTCCTGTAGGTTTTTGTCTTTTGATTAGGTTTTTGCGCCAAGCAAGACTTTATTTTACAGAAAATCATCTCGTGATCTGAGAAGGTACGAGCAGCAAATATACCCGAATCTAATATCTCTATGGAACTACTAGAGAGGATTAAGTCTATTACAGAGTTACCGCGGGTACAATCTGTGATATGTTGAGCCAGATCTAAGTTTTGACACATATTAATTAGTTCTAGTGTGGCTCGTTCATTTTTACTATAGTCTATGTTAAGGTCACCAAGAGCGATTATAGACGGGCACGAAGAGCTTATATCCAACCAGGTGTCTTGAAATATACTTAAGAAATTTTCATAATTTTGCCGCACAGGGTTGTACACTGATCCTATTGCAAGCGACTTACCCCTGTGGTTAATGTTTACCCAAACTTGTTCGATGGTGTCATCAGTTTGTATTTCATTGAAAAACAATTCATCATTGATGTAAATACCCACTCCTCCTCCTTGAGCAGTAGTTCTGTCCCTACGAACAAATTTGTAGTTTTGAAGGTTGATATTATCAGTACTAATGTGAGGTTTTAACCAGGTTTCTGTTATACATATGACATGGGGAGTATTTATGGTTGTGAATTCCTGTAATTTAGAGATTTTAGAAGACAATGACCGTATATTTATGTGCGTAATTAGCAGCTCATGCATAACTGTAGATGCAGGATGATTCATGATAAGTAATATGGAAAGAAAATTCTTATACTTATGTAGGTACACAGCAAAAAAACAAAAAAGAGACCACTAAAGTGCAATGTAGCGTAGTACTTCCCTTAACAAATGTTATGGAATGAATCGCCGTTAACCTGACCGCTGAACAAATGGATACAGAATTTGTTATAAGTGAATGAATTTATTAGATATGAATACTACGATTAAACAGTGAACATGTATCTAAATTTATGTTTACATATAGTTTGATTATAAGAGTGTGCGTGTATCTAATATTGTGTGATTGGCGATATCTATTACATTGACCTTAAGAGCTTGCTGCCATCTTCGCCTTGGAATTCCTGGTATTATACGATTTACGATTTAATAATTTGTATGTGCCATCTAGGAAAACTATGTCAGGAAATGCAAACATTGACTGTCTCATATTTTCTGTGCAAAAGAACAAGGCTTTAAAGTTGTTATTGTAACCGGCTGGTTACTTTCCAACTCTCTTTACCGTTTCTTCTTAAAATCCTTTATTTGGGGGTGGTTCTTCTTATAAACATTAAGGGTTGTTAGGCGCCGGCTAGCTTCAGTCGATAATTCTTCTGGCCTCAAGGAGAGGGGAAAGGATAAATGAATAAAAATCAATAATCTTTATTAAAACCTGTTGGGTTCTTTTTGTCTTAGAAATCGCCTTTTATCTGTAAGTAACACATATTAAGAGAAATGAGGGTGAGGCGGTACACACTCCTGTGAAAATAAAGTTAACTCATTCATACACAAAAAGTCACTGCATATAAAGGAAAATATGTATTTATTATGTGAATTAAATCAAAGTATTTACTCTCAAAACCGCCGAGTACAGAAAGAAAATTAATTCGTACTTCATAAATTCTTATCCACTTTAGTCGAAAGTCAACACAAAACTGCTGTAAATGCGTGTAGTAACGCTTTCAGGTTCGAGTCGTTTAAATGAATGCAAATAGTGCTGATAAGCACTGAATTGAACGCAACACTAGTAGGTAATTTAAATCGTCTTCACAAACATACCAATTTATAATAGCGTAATAATAAAAATACTACAACGAAATAATGAATCGACAACGAGGCAAACTACGACGAAATAATAAATCGACAACGAGGCGAACTACGACGAAATAAATGTCTACAAATACCTCTAGTTCATTAGTTCATAAGTGCACCAGGACTTGGAGGTCACTTTGTCGCACGATCGATGTGGAAGTCGAATGAATTCAGACCGCCCACTGCAGGTTGCTGTTCGCTTTTGAGCTGGACCAATCACAGGCAGGCTGGTTTATCTCGATCTCAGTTTGGTACTCTCCAGCTGGATTGCGCACGTACCGACAACGGAATCCTTGTCTTCTGTAATTTCGTAAATTTCCAATTTTCTTCGGCGCGCTGGGAAGAAACGTTTTCGCCTTTTTCTCTGGCTCGATGGAGATTATTTCACTCGGTTCTTTTGCTTGCTTTTCTTATAAAAGTCGCCTTAACGCTTTATTAAGCTTCGCGCTTATAATTTGCGGGCGCGACTGACATAGATGTTGCTCCGAAAAAAGGCGGCGGGCAACTCCTCTCTGCATTCATCAGATTTCTATCAGTATTCCTGGCCTTTGGTCCTCTATACTTCCAGCGCGGTGGTGTGACGTGGAGTTGGTGGATTACAGGGAGCACTTAGGCCGCTTGTGCCTCCGTATCCCTGCAACGTCGTATGCCCAGGCATCTTGAATGTCCGGGTTTGGGTGATCTTGTGTGGTTCTCATGAACCTGGCAGCGGCGTCCCTCATGTACTCGCGTACCGTGGCGATGTTAAATTCCCTGTGGAGTTGTTCGTTCCTCACGAACCAGGGAGCGTTGACGGCAAGGCGCAGGAATCGGTTTTGGACCACCTGGAGCGGTTGCAGGAAGGATGCCAACAGGTGGACCATAGGCAGGGACACGCCTCCTCTGAGGAGTTTGTAGAGGAGGCCCCGGTGCCATACCGAGTCGAAGGCCTTGGAGATGTCGAGGAAGAGACCTCCGGTGTGTTCCTTCCTGGTGAAGCCCTCGGTGATGTGCTCCACGACTCTTAGAGCCTGCTGAGTCGTACTATGTCTCGCGCGGAAGCCAAATTGGTGCGAAGGGAGCAGGTTAAGGGCCTCCACTTCACG